CTGGGTCACAGCGGGGGAAGAAAAGCCTGGTGCCAACAACGAGGTGAGGCTGAGTGCTCCCTCATAGTGAGCACACGTTACTCTCACACGTGGGGCAGCAGCGGAAGAGTCTGGAACAGAAGCAGCTCAATCCAGGATGATGCCCAGAGAGGGATTGTCACCATCACCATGGACAAGCTGCAGGCACAGGACTCTGGTGTGTACTGGTGTGCGCTCTACAACCCCTTTCAACGCCCTGCATTCACCCGGATAATGGAGGTCAGGCTCTCTGTGGACAAGAGTGAGTACCTGCTGGCAGATTCTGACCTCACCTCCCTGGCTCATCTCCCTTCTCCCCTGTGCCCACCAAGGAGCCCAGTGCCATCCATGTGCACCACAGACCCACATCACTCCCTGCAGTCCCAACACTGGGGCTCCCCAGACCACTGAGAACTACTGACTTGTGTGAAAACATGGCTGGCTGTAGACTCCAGATTCACTTTCCTACTCCCCTCTACTTTTTGTGCTGTCCAAATTAGTGCATCTTCCAGTGGGGTACATTTTCTATAATTTTCTATGCCCAAGCCCTACATGATTTTACTTTCTCACAGACATTTTGTTACGGAACAGCAGCAGGAATCTGACCTTACACAGATGTACTGTTGCTTCTCTTGTATTTTAGAGAAGTTTCAGTCATATTCAGAGGTGTTCCTACCACCCATGCTCATGATACTACTTCTGTTCCTTTATAGCAACTCATCCCTTGCTTTTCAAAGGCTATTAAGACTTTCGCATTTGGTTGCAACACAGATTTAGACCCATATTTTACAGATGTTTTTATCTCTTTCAGCATTCTCTTAATAAGAGATAATATTTAGGCACTTGATTCTGGCAAACCAACGCCATGCTGTGCCCTGTCAGGAATCTGGCAGAACATCACTGCAGGAATATAGCAACCCAGATGCCCAGAGCGGACAGCTCAGCACTTCCAACTGCACTTACAGTACTTCTGCTACACACTGTGTCGGCATGGAAAGCAGGGTCCTTCCCTCTCCCTTCTACCTTTTCATCCTTACACTGCTTTGCTTGCTCACAGCAGGTCCTGATGACACAAGTTGCACCCTGGGCACTTCGTGTTGGTGCACACAGATTTATGTCCGTGGTAGCAATGGCAGGGAAGTTTAGACGGTAATGGCAAAACAGCCCAGTAATTATTCTCCTATTCATGTTTGTGATTGCAGTACCAGCTGCAACGACTTTGTCAGTTACTACAGGCTCAAGTCAGAAAAACTCTTCTGGCAACAGCACACAGCCACGGTAAGGCTTAAAGAAACTTGCAGAGTTTGTGCACAGACAAGTGTCTCGCTCCAATTTACAGGAGGGAGATGAGGTTCTTTTAATGTCTGAACACCAGGCGTGAGATTAAGAAACAACGGTTCATATGTTAGTCCAACCAATTTATTGCAAATCCTAATCAGGGAGATGGGGAAGGGAAGGAGGGCGATAGAAAAGATAGGAAAGAAGCAAGAATTGTTTGAAGGTCCGAGGCAGAAGCAGCGGGGGGGGGGGGGGTCTTGGGCAGCAAGCAGGCAGCAGGAGGCGGCCGCGGAGCCAATGCGGGAGGAAGCAGCAGCGCTCAGGCAGCAGCCCAGGAGTTTGTCAGCATGCAGGAATTCCGTAGTGTGAGGAGTCTGATGTCAGACCCCTCTTCTTCTACTTCACCTTGCAGGCATCACTTCCTGAGGAATCTGTCAGAAATGCTCTGTTCTTCTTCATGAGGAATCTGTTGTCAGAAAACCTGTCCTCATGGTTTTCGGTTCCTCTTTTATCCTTCTTGTTCTCCTGCCTACGTGATGGGCCTTGAGCAAGAGTGGTTGAGTGCCTCCTGAGATGGCCATCATCCTAAGATAAGCCCACACAAAAGAGCACTTCACAGCTATTTAGCTGCCGCTCATCTCTCTCTCCTTGCCCCTGGCCTTGTCCATCCGTGTCCTGCAGACACAGGAGTTCACAACCCTTGTGGGGGTTATGCAGGGCACTGGTGAATAGTTAACAGCAAAATACCCCTTAGCTGCTCTTTCTTTCTTCTTTTTACTGTTGTTGTTGTTTTGGTTTTTTTAATGTAAAGGATTTTCTTCCCCTTTGGACTTCCTGTCCTGAACACTGCAGTAGCACTTAAGAGCACAATATACATCCCAGTGTGTCAGGTGCAGGAAAACTCAAGAGGAAGAAGCAGTACCTGCTCCTGAGAGCCTGGAATTGTGCTCTGAACTTTGAATAGTGTTTTGTTTTAAAAGCATGAAGACTAGAATTACAGAATGGCTTAGGTTGGAAAGGACCTTAAAGATCAGCTAGTTCCACCCCCCTCCTTCCAAATGTATAAAAGCTACTCCTGCCCCCTTTCTGGTAATGGGCTTTGCTAGCTATTGGTAACTAGCACTGGTAATGTCTTTGCTCTTCCTGCAAAGGAACACCATCATAACCTCTGTGGCTCTGTGCATCCTGCTCATCCTGGCCATCACAACAACACTGGGCATCAGGCAGCGCAAGAAGCAGAAGACAGGAGGTGTGTGGAAATTGGTGATTTCTGTTCTCTGATTCCAGATGGGTCCTTCTCTAACCATCATTTTTCCTCTTCAAGCACGATTATTCCCAATTCACAGTACTCTGGGGAAGATAACGTAGGTTCAGGCTGGGAAGCCTCAAAGGCAGGCTCCCTGCTGTGATCTCCCAGTAAATCAAACCCATGTTCCCTGCACAAAACACTTCCTACCATTTTAGAGAAGTAAACTGGGAGAAACACATTCCCCAGACTCAGGGTGGATGGGTCCCATTGGCACAACCATCACTTCCATCACTGGGCAATCCCAAAGCCTCCCCAAAACTCCTTGGAGCACAGCCAATGACCAGGCATTGTTATGGGCTTCTCTGCTTCTCTAAACTCTGACTCTGGCTCTTTCCAAAGGTAACAGACAAGCAGAGGACACGTATGACAAACCAGAGGACACGTATGACAAACCAGAGGACACGTATGACAAACCAGAGAGCCCAGCACAGGTAAGGAATATGACCATTTCCGTTTGGTACCTGAATCCAACACCTGTGAGGAGCTGGCTGACCCACATGATGAAGATCATTTTTGGTTCTGAGTACGAGGGGAAGTAATATTTAATATCACCACAGAAAGGAATGTGGGGGCAGTGGAAGGAAAATTCCACTGGAAAAAATGAACAATAATGAACCCAAGGTGGGGAAAATTCTAGTAATCTCTGAGAAATGACTGAAAGACTAGAAAGCAAGGTTAGAAGATGAAACTGTAGCCTGTCTCAAGGCGAGGAGATTAAAGAAAGGGTTTTCTGTTACTTCTTCCTCTGCCATGACCAGAGGTGACTTTTCACTTTTCACACAAATTCTTCTTCTGGAAGAATCTTGTTCCTTTGATAACAGCTGCGCCTTGGCACTGAATGATGCTGACTACTATTTGCTCTTCCTTTTTATAGCTTGAGAGCACTGAAAGAATGGGAAGAACCACAGATGACAGCAGAGATCTAAATTACATTACTCTGGACTTTAAATCCCAGCTCAGCTCTGATGAACCTCTCTACTGCAATGTTGAACTGAGTCAGACTCCCAGGAAACCCACAGAGGAAAATGTGGAATATGCCATCATTGCACACAAGCAGTTACCTAAGAATGACAAAGAATGAAGCACAGAATTCTAAAGCAATCCAGAAATGGGAGAACTGCTACATAAAGTGGCAGTGGAGAACAGTACACGAACACTGGGGAAAGAATTAAGGTTTTGCTACCACATGTACATTGCCTATGCATCTTAAGACCTCTTTCTTTCCTCTTAGAAATTTGTGATAAGTGTGCAGATCCTCTTAGGTCAGAGGTGCTTGGTAAATCTCAGGATCGACTGCACATTTGCTTTTTTGATTCCATTAAAATGCAGCCTCTCCGGGAGAGGCAGGTGTGCAGGACTCTCCCCTTGCTGCCACTGGGTTTGTTTGTAGTGGGTGGCAGATATGAGCACTGGGTTCTAGGAATAAGCAGAACCAGCATCTGCCTGAAGGCAGGTGGCTTGAGTGCACTGCACCAAGCTGAAACAGTGCTCTGCAAGTGGTGCAAGCTGAGGGTCCTGCTGGAAGAATCTGAGCACCAGGAGGTCTTCTAAGAACAAAACAGTGGTGCACATCACAATGCATACAGTTTTTGATACTTTATGCAAATTCCTACATTTATCAGCCTGCCTAGGTAAGAAATAAGATGGAAAGAGGCTTTCAAACTAAAGCTAAATGCCCACCCATTAATCAAGAAAAAGGGCACATGTGCTAGATATGGGTGTAGGAGGGAAAGAAGGTGAGGCACTACTGAGTGCAAGCACAGACGTTCCTTTAAAGACCTCCTAATCAGAGGCTTTCATTCTGTTCAAAAGCTTGTGGCTGGCTTGCTCTTACAGCTGTTCCTCAAGAAGACACAAACTGGCTGCTTGAACCAAAGCAGCGTGGAACAGAGACAAATGAAAGAGCATGGAAAAGAGAAAACAAAAGATGAGCGTTTCTGGAGAAAGGAAGGAAGGGAGCACGTGGCACCACGTCCAAGGAATGCACGGGGCACTGGGTGTTTTGAGCAGCATTTGCCATCTGCCAACTGCACAAGCGAGCCCTGAGCCAGAGGAGGAAAGTCCATACAGACAGCAGCACAGAGCAAAAAAGCTGACAGAAGAAATTGACAGCAAGAAATTGGCAATCCTGCCCACAGCAGGGGGTTGCAATTAGATGATGCTTCAGGTCCCCTCCAACCCAAGCTGTTCTATGATTCTACCATAAGCTTAGCAAAGTTTCAGGAAGTACTGCAAAGACAACAGAGGAAGAAGTGTGAGCACAAGAGGGCTGTTTTCAACAGCAGGTGATACAAGAGAAGGGAAATGCTGGTAATTCAAGAGTAGATTACTTACAGATATAAATGTCCAAGTAAATTGCATACATAATACATTTATAAATCCCTGGTGCAGAACACTGGACTGGCAGGGACCTGACCAGCCCCCTGCTGTCCTGAATAACCCCACCATAAACCAGGACACGTACTCCCAATGGACTTGCTCTCTAGGCTCCCCTCACACACCTCTGAATCAACCATTAGCCAGACTGAGATGCAGCTCTGTGTCCCTGCAGCACTGTGCTCTACTCACCCTGGCACCAAATAAAAGCCCTGGCACTTCCTAAGCTGCACCAAGCTCTGCAGGCAGGTGGCAGATCAAAGACACCTGGACCACCTGTTATTCACAGGCCTGTCTTGCTATGGCTGCAGCAGAGATGCAGGTTTGTTCTTTGAGACTATCAGAGTTGACCCATTTAACTTGAAATGAAAGGAAGAAAAAGAAAATGGAAAAAATCTGGAAAAGGATCCCCAGGCTACGACTCCCCTAACTATTCATACAGTCAGTTACACTGGGTCAAACAGTAGAATAGTAATGGTAAAAGATAATAAAATGCAAGAAATACATTTTCAGGATCTCAGTTGCTTCTCATGAAAGAGAATCCAGGCTTGAGCTTTTTGGTGCAAGAAATAAAAAAATGGAAGATAGAAAGACCCACAGAGAACTTCTAGGTACCATTTTTTAAACACTGATTAAAGAAAACAAGGCACATTTACTAACAGACAGATCTGCAGATTTATCTGCCTGTTTCTGTAAGATAAGCAAGGTTTTATCAGCATTTGAATGGAAGATCTCCAAGTAAGCGAATCCAACAAATTAACAAGGGCAGCCCATCAGTTTGCTAACGATACCAGAGGCCACCACATGACGCTCTCTTTCAGGCTGTCTAGACTAAATTGTGGCTGTGAGCAGGCAAAGCTGATGCCTGAATTTTCAGCCAGTGAGAGAAAGGCCCATCCGTGGTGAATTGCTCAACGTGCAGGACAAAAAAGATGCCAAGTTCCTGTGCTCATTCCTTCCGGCAGAGCTAGGAGGAGAGAAAAGCAAACTGCTCTTGGGCAACAGCCCTTTTCACTTCTGTCTGGACTCCTCTCTTTCCCCTTCTCTGCTGGACAGACATGGAGAAACTCATGCACCTCATCTTGGTCTTCTTCTCAGGTAAGAAAGCATACGTGGCCTTGGGTGATGATGACAGGTAGGGTGAAGAACTGATGCAAGAACTCTATCTTAAGAGTAATGACCTCTGTGAGACAAAGATTACAACAAACAACAAGACTGCACAGGCCTTGAGATGCAGCAGCTCCTTCTGGATGCAAAGGTACCTTCACTGTAGCATGCAGCTCTTTGGAAAAAACAATACAATCATTTGCTATGGATAGCTTTACCACCTGTCTGCACATTGCAAGGTGCAACACAGTACAAGCAGGGGGAACCTGGAGCTTTGCAGTACATTCTGCACCCTGCTCTTCCTCCCTTGTTATACTGGAGGGATGTCAGACCCTTTCTTCCAAGTTTGCTCTATAGCCTTAATTGAACGACGGGACTGTAAGAAAACAGAGGGCAGACTCTGTAGAAGGGTCTGTGTGATAGGACAAGGGGAAGTGGTTTCACATGAAAAGAGGAAAGATTTAGGATATAAGAAAAACACTGACTGTGATGAGGGCGGTGAGGCACTGCACAGGCTGCCATAGGGGCAGTGGTGCCCCTTCCCTGGAGACCCCCACGGGATGGGGCTGTGAGCACTGACAGAGCTGTGGGTGTCCCTGTGCGCTGCAGGGGTGCTGGATTAGATGACTTCTAATGATTCTGAAATGATTCTATGACCCAAGCACTCAGCTTTCCTCACAGCGATCCTTTTGAGTCAGAAGATGAAACACTGTTTACAGAAGTCTTGTGTGCTTTCTCAGAGTGAAACTGCAAAATTCTATTTGTTTGCATTCGTAGGAGGTTGAATGTAAATCGCAACAGCTGTGGTTCAACAGGAGGAAAATAAAACTCAGTGAAGTAGAGACATCCTTTGGGCATCACAAAGAAATACATGAGCTAGGGAGCACATCTCTGTAGGGAATAACACTCCCAGTCTTTGATTATTTTCAGCTTGGAGAGCAATGGGAAACAAGGCACGGGATCCAGCTGGTGTTCTCAGCTGACAGCCTTCTCTTTCCAGGCAAATTCTAGAGATGTCCGATTCCTGGAACACTGCACATGCAGGTACACATACAGGCTTTGGGAACACAGAATCTCAATTCTGACTGAAGTCTGAATTTGGAAAAAAAGTCCACAATGCTTTTTTCAGTAGCAAAAAAGGGAGGAGGAACACAAACAGTGAATGACCTGTCAGCAGAACCTGCGGAAAAGATAATGACACAAAGTTTTCCACTGGGGCATCAGCAAATCTTCAAATGCCATGACGATCAAGGCACTGCTTTGCAACAGTGTTTCTGGTCCATAAACGCAAAACCAGAAGTCGCTCCAGGAACTGAAAAGCCCAGCTGAACAAGGGAGGAGAAGAGTCTGCAGGAGAAATAAGAGGTGGAATTACAACGTTTAGTTGGCTCTCCTGGGACGGGATGTGCAGAGAGGTAAAGCCTTCCCTGGAACCACTGAGTGGAACAAAACAGCAGGATGAAAGTTTGTAGGTGATGGATGACTGAGGAGCATAGATCCATTTTTATGCCATCCTCTAGGAAAGCCTGAAAGACCTTCAGCTTCTTTTTTCTTTCAGCTTACAAAGCACTTAGAATGTTTAAAATTATTTTAAGATGCTTTATGATAAGGCTCTGCCAACACAAAGGCCTCACAACAACCCATTTTTTAATTTACTCCTGTTTTAGCATTATTTATCTTGCCACAAAATCTACATAGATTTCCAGAAATAACACTCTGTACTTCTCTCTCTAAATATTAATAGACTTTCCCTTCTGCCTTTGCCCACTATAAGGAGGAAATGGAAATTAGAAATAAGGAACTAGAACAAAAAAAGCCAAGCAGCTGCAGACCACTTATCAACAGGATTAAAATTAATAGGTTATTAAAAAGACAGGATGAAACAATCTGCAAAGACTCTGGAATCAGAAGTCAGGAATGCGAATAACAAGCAACCTGCTAACAGCGAGCTGCTCACTTGTTTCTATCTCTCACTTTGATTGCAGCACCTGCCAAGGCTGTTCTGCTTTCCTTTGGCTCTGTAAAGGGCCCTAAAATTGTGACAAACTTTATAGGCGTTTACTGCACAGCACCATTTTTGCATCAGAGCCAAATCTGCACCTCTGAACATATGTGGAAGGGTTGAGCTCAAGGCTAAAGCCTGAAGCAAGCAGCCTTGCTGCAGCTGTTTGCAAGTAGGCAGGCTGCATGCTTCAAAGAAGGGGTGTTACAGCAAGGAGAAACTAACTAATGGCTGCTGAGAAAGGACGAGTGATTTCTGGGTCAGGATGACCTGCCTGGACGCCTTCCTGTGCAGCCTGCTGTAGGAGCTGCTTTGCAGGAGAGTTGGACTCAATGATCTCTAGAGGTCCCTTCCAACCCCTACAATTCTGTGATTCTGTGATGATCTGCCTCATAAAAACACCTCGTAAAAACCAAGCCAGTTTACCTAGTGTCAAGTCAACTTCCAGCTTTGTGCCCCCCCAGATCAGAGGAAAACACAAGCTCCTATTTAAGTGTCCTAGTCATGCTGACAAACAGTCTCCCCTTGCTGGGCAGGAGCACAGTGACCACAACAAGCGTGACAACACTGAGCTCTAGACTGCAATCCAGAGCAGTCACCACAGGGCCAGAGGGGGAAGATGAGGACCGAAATTTGCTGAGCTTCAGAAGATCTGCAAACTCCCACAGGAAAAGCTGCTCAGCAAGAGCCACATGACACCCCAGTCAATGGGATCACTGCAGGCTTATTTCAAGGAAGTCTGAGCCAAGACTGAACCTGAGCACACTGCATTTTTCTCGACACGGCAGGCAGGTGAGCCAGCCCTGCAGTTGGCAGTAGCCATCATCAGAGCTGTAAAAGAGGAAAATGACATTTGTTTGGCACAAGCATAGCAGTAAGGGATAGATATGAAAGTTGTGGCTCACCACTTTCTCCTCCTCTCCTAGCATCCTGTACTGCACAGAACATCACTACGGTGTACGGAATGGAGGGGGGGACCATATCTGTGAACTGCACCTATAACCCCCGGCAGCAGCGGTGGAGAGAGAAGAGCTGGTGCAAGCAGATCGATGGGAGTAAGTGCCAGCACGTGGTGAGCGCCCGCCGCTTCTGGCTGCCATTCCTGAGGAACAGGAACGGCACCACCTCCATCAGCGACAACATCCAGGATGGGGTCCTGACCGTGACCATGAGGCGACTCAGGAAGCAGGACGCCGGGCTGTACCAGTGCAGGACGGAGTACCTGGGGGAAACCAACACCTTACGGAGGGTGCAAGTGGATGTGCTGACAGGTAGGTCCCGGGGCTCTGAGTTTCACCAGTTCCTACTTAAATTTCACACCCCTGCAGATGCCAGGACTGTACTTCAGTAAACATTTACTTTTGTCTGTCTCTAAGGAAGTCCCCAGCCTGTTTTTATTTCCCAATTTATAGCAGCACAAACTCACTGCTACAGGACATCTAATACATGCCATCGCTCACCACCCAGACTAACCAGTGCCCAGCCTCACTTTGGTCACCTGTGCCTATCTGGGGCACTGGTTTTGTGACACCACTGAATATCACATGGAACATTTGCAGACTGAACTGTTCTGTTTCTGTCACCAGCTGTCCTGGAGACCCAAATCCCAGAGGAGCCCAGTGCTGTGCAGAGCATCTCCAGGTAAACCATAATATTCCCTCTTCTAAGACTAAACTAGATTAGCACCTGTAATCCCATTTGAAGCTGAGAAGAATATCACCACAGGCACATTATCTGCCCCTTCCTAATGCATGACAACCCTTGTAGCTGCTGCATGGTTTCTGAACACAAAGCAGTGCTCCAGGGCCAGGCAAGCCAAATCCTGCAGACTGCAATTTATCCATATGTGAGATCTTCCAGTGAAAACCTATTACAGTTGCTCTAACCTCGCAGGCTCTGTTGTGCCCAAGCAGGGGTAGCACTCAGAGGAGTTGTTACCACCTTTGCACTTCTATCCTATCCAAATACAAGAGTTTATTTAAGGTTGAATCATCCTCTTCCTTACTAAGCCTCATTTTGTTGTGTTTATGTTTCCCCATAGCATCCCTCCTGAAGCTGATTTCACGGTCCTCTACATCATTGCTGGATTACTGGCTACTAAGTTTGTGGTGGCTGTGCTGATCTTTATCATTAGCAACAGCATGAAAAACAGAGAGGCAGAGCAGAACAAGCCAAGCTTGAATGAACAGCAGGTCCTCCGTTTCCCTGGTGACCTCGTAGAGCCTGCACATGGTGGAATCAGCCCCTCCTGGGAGAGCTCTGCTTAGAGCCGAACCAAAGGGAATCGACAGGGAAATGAACATCAAGCTTTTTTGAGCAAAGCTTTGCCACCTGCTGTAAGAAAGAAAAGCACTGCCTACTAAATATAGGTATTGACAAACCTATCACTCTGGAGAGGGAATGTCACCATCTACCACCTTCTCTCATTGCTTTCTCCAACACAACCCAATTGAAATGATGCTGCCAGTAACACCTGAAACTGATGGAAGCAGGTGGGACTGAGGGCTGGAAGGAGGGAGGAAGAAGAAATCTTTTCGTCAACAGATCCAACAAAACCCTACTCATGTGGCAGAGATGCTTCCCCAGACACAGTAATGCACAGATAATGCATTGCTGTAAGGAAAACCACTGAACATAAACAAGAGTCCAGGTTAACACATCTCAACCACCTGGTGCTTTTGTGCTCTCACACACAGCAAAAATAATATGGCAGTTTCATCTCAAACCTCCAAGGAAGTTTTGATTCGTTGAAGAACAGTGCTGAAGAGCTCATGGCTTTTATTCAGAATGTCCTACACACCTCTACAGAAGCCATGAATGCTTCTCCCAAAAGCACGCAGTACAAATGGACGTAATGTGGTTCTACTGAAAGCTAGTATTGCTGTCTAGAAATCAGCTTTGTTAAGACTTGTCTGTAAGACTCCTGTCCATAAAGACTGATTTTTGCCATGCTTATGGCAATGCAGTGCTCTGCTGTCACCTCCAGTCACTGCCAGTAACTGCACCACACGATCAGGCAGTTATTCCTAGTGCTCATCCCCTGTGCAGGTGAGATCTGTCAGCGTTGTGCCATCTCACAGGTGACACAAGACCCCAAGGATCTCCTTGCACAGAGTGGATCCTTAGCAGGCAGTCAGTGTGGAAAGGAACAAAGAACTGCAGAACATAACAAAGGCATATGAAATCTGCACACAGCTCTGAGCTTGTTTCCTCATTTCTCAAATCATTCCATGAACACAAAGATGATCTGTCTCTCTGTACTTTACCTGCACTTTTTCTCAAGGGGTTCATTGTTCATCATACCCCAGAAGGAAGCTGCAATCACCTGTCCAAAGAAGAACCCAAACCCAATGCCATTCACACTGCTTCCCGCATTGCCTACAAAGCTAAATAAAAACAAACTGTTATCTTACATAGTGTGGATTCATGTCAAAGGGCTGGAGCACAGCAATTCACAATAAACCACTCAGAACAAACTGCTGTGTTTTGCAGTATTCCAAACTGGCAGGTGGGTGGATCCAGCCAGCTCCATTTAGCACCTGGTGGTAACAGTAGCTGAGATCCCAAATTCAGACAAGGCTACGCACAGCTGTGCTCTAAACTAATTTCATTTCATTTTGGCATTCCCTCTCAACTCTGAAGTGCCTAGCATAGGCATGGGCTGTAAAGCAAGGGAACTGCAGCACTAACCAGGAGGCAACCCTGACACCTCATGCAGGGCCACTCACATCACCTCATGTTGATGCTGGGCACTTCTGAACAAGAACATGGAAGTTGCACAAAAGCACAAAACTGCAGGAAGGATTAACTTATCCTACTGAAAGCTGCACTGCCAAGGTGGCACCAGAGCCTGAAAATGCCTATTTCTTTTCCAGCCCCACAGTCTGATTGCTAAATAGAGCTATCTACACAACTAAATATTTAAAGCAAAAAAGCAGCTAGTAAACATGAAGCAGTCTTCCCACCCAAGACAGTTTGTGGTTAATAGATGTTCTCAGCAACTCCAAACTGCTATCATCACTCCAAGCAGCAGAAACTGTAAATGACAAAGCAAGTTTAGCTTCCTCTGTATCAGAGAATTCCTCAGGGGTAACGAAGCTCTAGGATACATTCTTCTCCCCGTGCCATATACCACTTTCTACTGCAGGATGGGAAGTTTTCCAGCCCTGCTGCTCCTGCTGGTGCTACCAGGTAAGGCTTCGAATCACCCTGAGGAGCAGGGTGCTCTCAGTGCTGCTGTACACAGTGCAGCTGTTATTTGCTTGAACAATTTTTATTCAGGCCATCCACAGCCAGGCAAGGAATAGGATTGCCAGATGTCAACAAGAGATGTTCAGCCTGAAATGTGTTTATTTTATTTACACAAGCTTAGGTTTTCTCAGTCTGAAATCACCTAGCATATGGGGAGGGAAATCTGTGTTTGTTATTTTCTCTGGAAACATGATGGATGAGGCATTGTGAGCAGTGTGAGACAGGCTAGCTGCTGTTTGCTCTCTTACAGCCTGTGAATACTGAGTCCACAGAGAGGAACAGTGTGAATAACAATGGAAAAAGGGTAGTGGCACCAAGGCTGGGTATGGATGTTTCTTTATGCAAACCTGCAGAGACAGGTAACTCTTCTCACAGTCCCAGAGGTGTCAGCAGTGTGATGCAAGAAAAGGTGGCACAGGACGTGGTGACTACCTCTGGCATCAATTTTCTTCTTCCTTTCAAAGGATCACACATGGCAGCAGAGGACACACAAGTCTTTCTGCAAGTACCAGGAGAGTCCTTCAGAGCTAACTGCTCATACGACGTGCACAAGCACTCACGTGAGAAGAAATTCTGGTGCAAGGAACAATCAGAAAAACATTGTCCAGTCTTACCCTTGAGCTTCCCTTCAGAAGAAAGGATTGCTCCTAGCCCTGCACTGCACCCTCCAGCTGAGCTGAGAGACTCTGGAGGCGGTTGGTTTTCTGTAATCATGACAGCACTTCGAAAAGAGGATTCTGGCACATACCAGTGTGGAGTTTGGGTTGAAATGAAGCAAGTTTTGCTGCAAAGAATACGGATGGTGGTTTCACCTAAGGGTGAGCTATGTGGTCAACAGCACGCCGGGTGGGAGACTACCAAAATAAATCAAGAATGATGTGTCAATTCCATTTTTTTGTTTCATAGCTAAACATGGTACATCTAGACATCGTAATTCCCCTAGAGGTTATTGAGGACAGGATAAAACTACGTTCTATAGCTCCATATAAAATCACAATATGTATCTGTATGTATCTAGAGGCAGAAATGGCCAATAATTTTTTTTTTCCCCATACAAAATGAAGAAGTTCCAAAGCAAAAGAAAGCATTATTTTAAAAATCACCATGAAAAACCATGAATACAATTTTGTGGGATTGTACTAATCAAAACCAAATGGGTTTGGGATAGAATATTCAGACAAGCTGATGAAAACTACAGGAATACAACTTTCTTTTGCAGAAAATTTTCCATTTTGTTCCAAGTGTTTTCCAGTCACAGAAGCCTTTCACGCAGAAAGGCTCTGATAACTCAAGAAGACTCATGAGAGGGAGCAACACCCTCTTAAACTTGAAGATAGATATTAGGCATTAGAAATGTGCTGAGGTGGCTCCTTGTCACAGCACCTGGGCAATGTGACAGTACCTGACACAGGCTTCCACCTCTTCTGCAAGCTCTCTTTGTTCTGCTGTTGGCCTCTCCTTTGCTGGGTGATGCACACTACCACAGGGACTGTTCTTTCTTCTCTTTGATCCTTCTAATGAATCACCACTTTATTTTCTTTAGAACCTGTAACAGTGTTTGCCAAAAAAGGGAAATCTCTGTTCCTCCACTGCTCCTATTCTGCACCAATCAACACTGGAGAACTTCAACATTTTATTTGGTGCAAAATGGTGTCCCAAATTACTTGTCACCCTATTATCAGAGGTAATGCTGATCAAAGTATTGTTAAAGCAGAGAGGACTGAAATGATGAATGACTTCTCATGGAAAATGATTAGAATGTGGCTGAAAAAGCTCCAACTTAATGACTCAGGAGAGTATCGTCTTGAGAGCCATCTCCAGGGGAGAAACAAACTACTGAGGAGGATCGTGCTGAAAGTTTTGGGTGAGTTAATCAAAGAATTAATGATGATCTTCTAAAAGTCAGCAATTTCTTAATACTTGACAAGAAAGATTACAGGTCAGTGCTAAAGAGCTCTCTTCTGAGCCTTGAAATTTCCTGAGACACAGATAACTCCTGAATTTCCTTTTTAAAACAGATTTTCTGACACACACTAATGGTATAAATTGCTGCCAGTTCTTGGGAGGGGGGCAGTCTGACCTGGTTTCCTAGACTGATGACATTTCACATTTGCATCAGCAGATGGAACAGACTCCAAGAGATCGGAATGTTTCCATGAATTTCTACCTGAGTTCACCTCTTTGTCACTGTCTGTTAATGAACTTTTGAATTTAATACTTCCCTTCTGCTTTCAGCCAGTGCAGAAAGCAGCAAAGCAGAAAGCACTGAGTGGAAACAATCTGATCTTTCTGACCGGACTGAAAAACGCAGGAGGGGAGGTAAATAACGAGATCCCTTCTTTAAGACAAAGATGTCAAGATTTGTCTTCTAAGAAACTTTCTTTCCAGCAGCATTTAAATGCAACTCAGCTTTCAGGCTGCTCTCTAAACTGACATGAATTTTCGTGGCTTACCTATTTGGCAGCAGTGAAAAAGCACCAGAGGCCCATAACCTGAAGGAAAGAAACCTGGAATCACAAGATGTCTGTTCCTGTCCCCATTGCTATTTGCTGCTGGCTCTCTGGCTGCGCCTACACTGGTGCTTTCATGCACATGCACTGCTGACAGTACACCAGCCAACAGCATACACAAAATCCCAGCTCTTTCCTGAGAAAATGGATGATCCTATAACTGGATGATTCCCGTGACTCAGCAGCACTGATAAGCTTTGTTTTGCTGATGAACAGCACAGGATGGATATCCTTCTGCATTCCACAATGTCATGGTTAACAAACAAGCACTATCTCTGGAGCATGCTGGCATGACAGAGAGTCATCAGGGATGGATCAGTGTGGGAAAATCATTCACTTCTGCTTTTTTTTCCAAGGGGAAAAGTGGAATATGGATGGCAGCCCCACAGACAACAGCAGAAAGGACCAGAGGTAAAAATAAACAAAGGCACCCAGACTCTAATTATGGCATTCTGGCTGCACTGCAGGATTTGAGCAGTGCTGTGATAAACGTGCACACACACACACACACACAGGCTTCTCCCTGCGGAGTTTGGGTCAACCTGCTCAGGCCCTATGAAAGCCATACAAGTCTCCTACTGGTTTCAGGAGCTCTAGGTGGGGACTCCACTGAAGATGCTCAGTTTCAGTGTTATTCCTTTCTACCTGCTTAAAAAGGGACAACTATACAACCCATGCAATGTTATGTTACAGTGATTCTGCTCTTGTACAAGCACAACAGCCTAAGAGCAACCCATAATGATCCTGATCAAAGACAGACCATGAGAAGGGCTCCTGCATCCCGATAAGGGATGCCTTTGAACTCTAAGCAGCACTGAATTGAGTGCAGGAAGAGATTTCAAGCTCCTGAATGTGCCCCAGGCTTGTAAAGAACCAGAGAAAATACAGTTGGGATGGATCCTCTGTGACTGCACATAAGTACTGACCTCACAGAATCACACTTGTTGAGAGACAACGGGGTTAATAGTTGTATTCTGAATTTAATTTCAGACACACAAAACCCCCTCCCAAACTAGCCTAGTCACTGTGGTGCTGTAAATAGTGATGGAGACACCATGTTTTCCTTTACAGGACTCCCTATGCTGTCATGGTGCTGATTTCCCTGCTGGCTACGGCTGCCCTGATCGCTACTGTTACACTCATCACCAGCTGCATCGGGAAGAAAAGAGCAGGTAAAGCTCTCTAATCCTCTTGTCTTTTTCCTGCCCCTGCAGCCTGGTATCCCAGCACCCTGAAGGTTAAGGATGGTTTATTCAGAGGTATCATTGCTCAGGAAGGAAGTGCAACTGAGCTGAGAGCAATACACAGCATGTGCACTAAACTTCAGGGAAGGGAGAGTGGAAGCAGTCATTTTTTTTAATGAAAAAATAGGTGTGTGGTTTTACACTCAAGAGACTCCGTTCTTTGTGGCAGGAAAAGAGATGGACTTTGACAGACACCCTGCTTTCAGAAGGGGAGTGCTACAGGTAAGAGATCATCTGAAATCCCTTCTTCTTGGTGCTCTGTTTGATCAGTGCTGGCTCTGCGCTCAGCGCTCAAGGGGATCACAAAGCACACGGTGCCACTCATCCTACAGTGAGAATGTGTTCCATCCAGCCAAGCCAGCAGGCTGAAGCTGTTTGTATTTGTGACCACATCTGGGTGCAAAACAGACACAGCCCCAGTAACCTGAGCAAGTCATAATCCCTGTTTTTGTTTACAGTACTCAGAAAATAAATTCAATAACAAATAGGTAATTGTGAAAGTTTACTGGCCTTGGATCTTCAGTAATATCACCAAAGCCTCTCATCAAAGGAAAACTTTGTTATTTGCGATCTCTCTAAATATTGAGTGTTATCTGTTGCTGAGCCATTCTATCTATGATTCAGGATTGGAAAAGAGAGTTTTGTGTACAAGAATTTTCCCCTTTTCCCTGCACCTTCTCTCCTCCTCCTCCTCAGTTTCATAATATGTGGAGAAAGTGTTTGTAATCGTAATCGAACCGAGGCTAATATTGAGAATCAAAAAAGTGCTGCATTTCTTTTTATCTTCTCATTCTGTTTGTTTTTAAAGGAAGGAAGAGAAAAAGCAAGTAGAATATCAGATGGGGACCACAGTGAGAGTACGATATATGCTGCAATAAGGCACCAACCTCGACCCAAACCTGAAGATGTGATGTATGTCAACATACAGCCTTCACCGAAAGTTTCCTTCCTTCAGGAACCACCTGGGAGCTCACATCCCTCAGGGCCTGTGGAATATGCTACCCTTATCTTCAAGGACACAGCTCCACAGTCTGAAATTGAAGAGAGAAGAACAGGCCCACTGAAAGAAAGCAGCACAAAGCCTTCAGCTTATTGATGGAACGCTGCTGAACTGAGCTTAGAAACAACCCGCACGTAACCAATTGCTGGAGATGCGTACACACAGCACTGCTGAAAGGATGAGACACATGGATGCACAAATCTTCCCTGAAAAACAACCAAACTTTTCTAATAGCACAGCAGCACAATTCAGCTATCATGAACAAACACTGTGAAAGGCTGGGGCGTATTTGCCTTCTGTTCAGGGCTCTATTTTTAAGCAGTGAGCAACTATAAGCCCGACTTCAGGAAACAGGCGGGCTGTGATAGCAGCAGATCCAGTGCCACAGCCAGCAATGGGCTGCGAGATATGGGAGCACAGCACTTCTGCTTGGACTTCCAACTCACTTAAATATCTGCATGTGAAATGTTAATTACTGCCCACTGATTAGGACCAAAACAGCAAAATGGTAAAAGTACCTGCTGAATTTCAGCACAGTTGTTTTGCGTACTTCAGGGAGACAAGTAACGCTCTCAGTTTCAACAGCAACAAGTAATGCCTGGTTTCACCAAACCAGGGCTTTGCTGAATAGTATTTGTCCACTTAAAATGTCTTCAGTCTGAACATACAGTTGCAGAATTCAGACTGTATGTATAACTTTGGGTTTCCTTGCCTTCCCTGCTTGTTTATTAATGCCACACTCGTGCTACAGCATAACTCTGTCTTGGCTCTGTTATAAGTTTCACTCATTCTGATCAAACTACTGAATCCTGTTATCGTGGTGATCAACACCCCTAGGAATGATGGATAACTCCTAGAATAAAGCTGACTAAGATTCTCACCTCAGCTCTCTGAGTTGGATCCACAGCTGCTGAACATGACACAGAAATGGCTTTTGTTTTTTTATATTACAACTGGGAGAAAAGGAACGTGAAAAGGCACAGTCAGCAATTAATCATATCACCTGCACAGAAACTCCACTTTGCCTGCGGGTTCTTCTCCATTTCTGAGGAGACGTGGGGAGAGGAGAGGGGAGAGAAGATGAAACTTCTCTTGCCAAGTCTGATGTGGCTACAGGACATCAGGGTCTTTGCTGTTAAAGCTGAGATGACTTTGTCACTCTATCGCAAATTCTCTGAAAACAGTACCAGAAAAAAAACATTAAAATAACTGCTAACTATATGTGTGTGTGCTTTTTGATTCCTAAACAGCTGCACTGGCTCACACTGGAAAGAATTAATGACTGAGGCTCATGTCGCTTTTTAAACAACAAATGTGTTTGCATGCAGCCCTGCATTAAGGTCTGAAAATATGCACACCTGGAAAGATGAGCAATTGTCATAACAAGCATCAATAAACAAACTCTACTTCTTATTTAACCAGTTTGATTCTCTGAAAGCAACTAAACTTTGTATGTCCAAATTTCTCATCTAGCTGCAGTGGCACACAGAGTAGATCTTAAAAGTAATGTAATGGAAATAACTAACTCACAACAGAAAGGCTTTCTGGTACACACTTCCTTTTCTCAAGAAAGCTGAAGATATCTACTATCACACGATGAAGCTGAGGCGGCTCGTAGGGCCACTTTGGCACTTAGATTGCATCAGTCCTCTGTCACAAAACGCAGATCAGTAACCGCCAGCCTTAGAGCAAAGGCTCTCTGAGGACTGTCTGCATCTCTAACAGGCAGTAGAAGTATTTCCAAATGCCCCATGGCTGAGCAGCCTGTCTGCTCACCGCAAAGCACTCTGGCCTTAAGTGGACTATAAGAACAGAACAATCACACAGACTGTGAATTACACTGCAGAGATTTCTACCCCAATCACCACAGTATTTATGCCATCCTGAGAACGTCCAGCAGCAGCTCTGCAAATTGGGCATGCAAAAGAAGCCATTGAGATCTCAGCAAAAGCCCCCCCAAAAAACAAAATGGCAAAGTAAATTGAATTTTGGATGATACTGGTTGGGAGCAATACCAGAGATCAAGGAGTCTCCTGCTGGATGAAATACAGTTGGCTCATCCGTACCTTCCCTTTTCCTCTGGAGATCACTGGGGCATAAGAATATTTTTGGAACAAATGTTTGTCTCCAGCTCCTTGAAATACAAAGAATTGGCAACATGTTACTGCATGAGGAACCAAGGAGCAGAGAAAACCCAACACTTACCAACCGTGTCCACTTCACACATTAGCAGCACAAAATTTTATCCATTCTGTTCGCTTTAGAATATCTGTTCAATTGTCCTCAACTTCCTGCCTTACTTCTCTCCTGTTCCCAGCAACTCAGAATATTGATTCCCGGAGCAGAAAGCTAAGCAATAAAGGACAAGATCCTGGCAACCGTGACTAGCCCAAGATTAGCAGATACAGGAACTTCTCTCCAAAGCGAGGGGTTGCTTTAAATTAGTCTGGTCCTGCTCTTGTTAGGGAACTGAAAAGAATTTCAAATTAAGAATAAAGCAAAAAGCTGTGAAAATCAATATCTGAGTGGCTTTGTAATCACATAACCTATTATGTGCTGTGGGCATTCCCTTCAGGCCTATGATGCCTGCTTATTCCCCTGAGCCACTGCCCTTCATGCTCTTCTGCATTCATGACTCCTCAACTGCGATGTCCTTGAGGATTTATTCTGCTCTATTTGCCCACAGTCACACTTGTAGCATTTCTGCATTTCATCACGATCTCAGAGCTGCCAGCAACACTGTGTGAAAAGGGCAGGCCAGCATCTGTCAGGACCCACACTGACTGCCAGCCTTCGGCGCTGCAGCACAAACCAGTGTCCGAGCTTGAAGCCTGGTGCAGAGAGAAAAATATTTTTTTCAGAAGATAACCCCTAACAGCAGTACCTGACTGGATGCTCAGAACTACCTGCTGGAGGCACTCCTAGCCCACCTCATCTATGGGGACACCATCCCTCTAATTTGGGCACTGACCACAGGCAGTACGACTGTGCTCTATCAGAACTGGTATTAGAAGAACTCACCTATTTTCACTTAGAGCTTTCAGCCAGTATTTCCAAGCTGTTTTACAGATAGCATGGAAAGCACTGTTAAGGCATCCCGTGCAGGAGAAACACAACAGTGCTTGGAGTAAAGCTGCCCTTTTTGTTCTTGTTCTGCTTGTGGGCAGCAGGTGACACTCATGCAAGCTCAACACCTCTGCTAGCAAAGGAGTTGCTTTTGCACCAGCAAGGGCAGAACCAAGCCCCAAGAGCTCTACTGATTCTAGTTCTTTCAAGAACTCATTGTATGGCCACAACTGCCTGCAAAGTTTAGTGTATCCCTTCTAAAATAAAGCATACCCCAAGAACACAGGAACAAATGAACAGGCTTAACGCAGCATTTTGTTTATATAAATATATATATGGCAATTATTAATCCAAAGAGCTTTGCGAACAACAAACATACAGCAATGCAGTAGCACAACCACTTGATACCGTACAAAAAGACAGCCTAACAGCAGTCCTGATAAAAGTATTTATGTTATCATTGCTGAAGTTACAACACTGCTGAGAGATCCTGAGCAGCATGCGTGGAAGGAACAGCACGCCTGAGAGGGATTAGCAGGAGGACATGGAAGCTGAGCATTTCTAAAGCCTTCCAAAGCCTGCCCAATCCTCTTAAGAGGAAAACTTCCTTTTGTACCAAAACACAAAAAATAAGCTCTAACAGTCTCCGTTCTGCCATATTTGAGCAAATAAAGATAATGACATGATACTAGGGAGTTTGGGGACAAGAATAAACCACCCTTCTGGAAGATAACCAGCAATACAAAGAAGTAAACATTTTGGGAAGCACAGCACTTGGGTAACGTGAAAGTAGTGACCTCTTTTATGCTTACACAACCCTGAGCAGATTCCAGCACTGCACCCATAGGGCACTCCCTGTGCTCCAGGGCTGTTTGTGTCATCATTTGACTTTTCTGGAAGACTTCTCCGGAATAATTACCCGAGGCGTGCAATGACTCCTGCAGCACACACACAGAAGATGGCCCTCAGGTACATGGAGCATAATGCCAATGGGTAGCCAGGAGCTGGACTGGCAAGGGAGAAGAGACAGCGTGACTTCTGGGCATATTTCCCCAAATAATTATTGTCTGAAACAAAAAACTACCAAGCTAATCACTATGCACCTCCTTTAGCCACAGCCCAGATACTCCCCCAACAACTCTTCCACACTCAAAAGGACACACAAAAGGAACACTGACCCGGTGACAGCAGCCTTCCTTTCTTCCCTCCCGCAGCTGAGAGGCCATTCCCAACTCCAGGAGGGCGACAGCATCTTCCTCAGCCTAAGAGCTGAGCTACGCCCTCCCCCCAACTCCCTCAGCCCCTCAGCCGCCATCTTGAGACACTGCCCCATGCCAGGCGGGAAACTAGCCGGGCACCACCAGCCAATCAGAGGCGTCCCACCTCAGCACCCACCAATAAGCACGCGTGGCGGGACGCTACAGTTTCCCTCAGCCAATCGGGTTCCAGCGCTCGCAGGCGCCAGGCCTCCACCGGCGGTTCCTTCAGGCAGAGCAATGCCAGGTGTGGAAAAGGCTTCTTCCCTCTGACTGAAAGGAGGACTTTAAAGCAGAGCCAAAGCCGCTGCTTGGTTTATAAATTTTTATTAGCTGGATAGTGTACACAGTACTTACAATTGCATCTATTAAAGACCAAAATACACTTGAAAAAATGCATTATATAAAAAAAATTATAAACTTTTTAACTATATACAAACTTCGCCTTACATGATGCAAATTTCAGTGTCCCCTCCCTCCCTCCCCCCCCTCCCCCCCCCCCCCCCCACATCCAGTCACAAAGAATTTTTTCTCCTCTCTCCCGTTTTTAACATGCAAAGCCTTGAAGCACTCCAGCATCACTCCAGGACCATTCTCCATGTGTCGCCCTGCCACCAAGCAAACGCTGCTTTTAGAGGCCAACACAAATAACCAAATGCAGGTGAAAAACGTAACAGCTGCACTCAGGTTTTCACATCCTTATTTTAAGTATTAACAGTAAAGCTTCCTAAGTAACACGAATCCATAGGCCTTAGTACACGTTCTACAACAACAGATCAGAGAACCTATATATGAAGGGCTCACTGGGGAAAAAAAGCTCTAGTCGTTCGGAAGAAGTTGACAACTTCTTTAAGAAAAACAAGAATTACTAGTTTAAAAGAAATAAACAAAAACCTACGTCAGAGCAACAATCTCTGCTTCCATAACTTCCAACTGTCTGAGGGGGTTCTCTGAGACAGAGATTAGCTGTCAGTTGAAGAGCAGAAATGTTATGGAGGCCGTCTTACTGCAGCACAGAGATATTCCTCCAGCACATGAACACCCTATCGACAACATGTACAGATGCTTAAAAAAGTATTTACAATAGTGCGGCAAATTCAACTAAGGAAAAGGTTTTGTTATTCCTTCACTAAATGAGAGCTATGGGTTTCCTGAAATGGGTGACCTCACGAGAAATGCCAGGTGAGGATTTTATAGTTACTGACTGAAGAAAAAAAAAGCAGCAGCACCACGCTCTAACTGGCCAAGTATTTTAAGGCAGAAGCAACCAAAGGCACCAAAAATGCTATCAATGCCTTTTGAATAGCTAGAAAAAACCCTCATGTAAAATTTGTGAGCAGAATACTAGATTACTAATATAATTTTTGACAACTGAATCCAAAGATCTATTTGGAACTTGGCTTTTACCTTTCTCTGTGGCTGCAGGCCTGCCTTGCAGAACTGTTTGTCAGCTTTGCTTCAGCTCACCACGTCAGCTGTGTAAGGGTAAGAATGCAGAGCTAGAAGCTCAGAAGAGAATAAATGGAACTTCATTTAGAAAATCCAGCTGCCTTACTGCGAATGCCAAATCTGCTCCTCCTCTTTGTACCTGTACTGGCTAAGTGTCTTTGCAGGTGGCTGATCTGGACACTTGTGTTAGTACCTAGGCAGGCACTCTGCATCACAGGTTGCTTGTTCATGAATTCCATCACATTTTACATCAGTAAAAATGGGACAAGTTTAAAAATCCATAACGAACAACAAGTTGTGTTGTTAAGGTATGCAGCCAGAAACCAGTTGTAATAATGAAAAATCCACGACGTTGTTATTATTATTTTTTGAATGCAGCTACTTCTTGAGTGCCACATTTTAAAAACTCTTCTTTTTTAAGTGGATAGTCTGTTAGAAGCCTGAACAGTTAACCAATACACGCCTTCATTCAACAGTCCTTCAAAACATCAGTATGCACCTGGTTGAGTGGCCCTGCGCTTCTGCCATCATAAAACGTCCCTCACTCTATGTAGAATGAGAACTGTGGAACTGATTTACAGCACACATCAAGAAATACTGTCAAAAGGATGGTCAACTGTTATCACTCAGACGTTGCAGATTGTATTTCTTTTGGAGAACCATGCATCAGACTGGTTAGGTTGGAAATAAAGATTTTAAAAGTAATCCTTTGGAAGAGACTCACTTGGAAGCTTCAATACTTTAATACTGGCATCCACTCTTCTTCCAAAGCACTAACTGCTGGCAATAAACATACCAAAAAACACCAACAAATTGCATTTACTAACTAAATCCTTATCCTCACATCAATAGCCCTCTCCACTCTTACTTCCTGGAAGAGATACACAATAAATCAAGTCCTGTAATAATCTTGAACTGTTTTGATCACTTTGACTTGATGGCTGAACTTTTCCCAGAGAAGAGTTTGCTGTTTACGTATTTTACAGAGTGGAGCTTAAGAGAACACCTTTCAGTTTCTGTCAGCTTTGCAGGTGCAAATGCAACAGCAGAGAACAGTTCAGTAGACAGTAAATCCAAAGATGTAAATAGTGGATGTAACTAACAGTTCTCTACTGGGAAAACGAAGTACTGTGGTATAGCCACATCAGTGCTGGTTGCTATCAACTGGATTATGTCGCTGCGCAGAAGGGTCATAACTCCAAGAAGCCTTTACTGGCCCTCCTTCAGCACACCAGTTATTGCTGGTCAGTCAGTGGTACACTCACCATGGCCAATCTTAATGCGAGAGATGTTATAAAGGAGAAAAAAAGGGAAAAAAAAAAAAGGCATGAGCTGTCAGACTGAAATCCCTGCACTGAATCAGAAGAGTATACCAAGACAGTCATTCAGTTTCTATTAGTTGAGTCAACTGCAGTTAAAATCTTTACCACACGCTGAAAAAGTGGTGTTTGTCTGTAGAAAAGGATAGGCTGTGATGTGGTGATTGTCCCATTGAAAGACTTGCTTGATACACTGATAAGGTAGGACAGACTTGCAGAAGGGACAGGAATTCAGTTACATTTTTATGTTAGCAGTGATTAGGAGACTCTGATCATCTGTGTCATTGCTTCTTCATTGTTCTGAGGTGGATCCTAGAGATACAAAATAAATGTCATATTGTAATTTCAAAAATTTTCCATAACAGAGAGTCACTCACAACTGCCTTTATCAGGAGCAGATACTCCTCTACCCCCCTCTGCCCACAATCTTCAAACATACCACATTTCTAATGGGTCTTACAAGCCACCACAGGCTAACTGCGATACACATCTATTAATAACTCCTAGCAATGGATTGTTTCTGGTATTAGTGGAAGGTACAGGTCTAGCATTTGGACAGGATTCCACTTTAGAATGAGAAATATCATTCCACTGAAGTCAAAGGGCGACTTTAAAGCACTGGTCAACAACAGAATTTGCTACTTCTACCCTACGATATTCCCTCCCTTGAAACCTCTCTTGCATTTTATTTACGTATCTAAGAGAACAACTAAGAATCAGACAAACATTTTTGAATTTTCCAACACGTGTGAGACAAAGCATGGCCCTTAATGCACGTCCTAGTAAGGAAACTTCTGGTATGCAATCACAACAGCTGCACAGATTGCATTTCTTAGAACAATAAATACAGGCATTCTCTATTTGTAAAACAAATGAATACATTTCTATCAACATTACTATGAATTAATTACTCAAGGTAAATGAGTGCTTGCTCTCCAAAGTGAACAGAGTGAGAGGGAGGATTTCTTTACAAAGCTCCAAACAAAAATCTGTAGGCAGGAAGAGCGAAAGGTCAGCAGCCTAACCCAAAAAAAGAACAGGAAACAGTAGCAACACTCCTCTAACCTGTAACCTGGAGAACTCAAAGCGCGCCCTGCTCAAAGAACAGACAAAATTCTACTTACCTGCATATGGGGACTGTCTTTCTCCTTTGGTGAGAAGAAACGCCCCCCTTCCCCTCGCTTCCTGGCCATGGCGTGACGATGCCGAGACTCGTGCAAGTATTTCTGTCACAACACGGAAGAGAAGAGCGATGAGAGCGGCCTATTCCTCCCCAGTTCAGTACTTACAGAAATTGAGAACTCGGCAGAAAAACCTGATGCAGACTCCATTCTTTCCCCCCACCCCTGAACTAAGACGTTTATGGTAAAGACCTGTTTGAAATAGAGACATTAGATGAACTGTTAAACATTTGGAAAGGGAGGACTTACTACCACCAAGGGACTTGGAGATTACTCAGAAGTAGTTTATGAACAAGCAAAAAAAAAAGGAAACCATACTAAGATTCCAACCATCATTTTTCTGGCAGAGATGATTTTCTGCTCCTTTCTCACGCAGCAGCCCTGTATTGGATTTGTGTTGTATTCTCACCCTTCTTTCTTTGGGAATTTTCCCCTCCGCTTCAAGCTTTGCTCGTGCCTGCCTCCTCTTCAGGATCCGATGGTACTGCTTGGCATTTACGTAGAGGGGCTCTTCTTCAAGCATCTCTGCTCCGGGCAAAGGTATCCGCTGGATAGCTGGTACTGATCCAGCTCCAGGCACCATCTGTACAGAGAAGAATGGTTTTACAACTTTTAGTTTGGAATGAAAAGGGAATGCAGAGATACACTTTTGGAAGTGTTTGCGATGGAATGGGCTTGTTTTTTTCTGCAGTTAATGCGCCAGTTTAAACTGAAAGGAGTAATAAAGTCCTTCTCAAACTGCAGGACAAATTTAAACACATCAGTGACACCATTTGTGCTTCCTTTCTTCGTGATAATGGTTAAAATTTCAATACAATACACAATTCTATGACTATGTTACTGCATCTTGTCTAATTTGCATGCAGGACATGCCCATCACTTCCCCTTCTTTTAGGCTATGAGTTATTTAATTTATATGATAATTTCAGAGCATTTCTTAAGCAATTATTACTCATAGAGCTGCTGACATCTAGTGGAGATGAACAATAAAGTTCAAGTTGAAAGGCATCCAACTACAAAGACATAAGAACTGGCAGAAAAAAGTCCTAAGAATCAGAAAAACAAATACCAAGGAATCCTCGAGACACGCGAGTCGATTCAATCTTTTTAAATGCCTGCTTATCAGCTAACAGCTTATCTTGAGTTTCAGCTCCTGTATTTTTTTAACTCAATCTGCTGTAGCTGAAAGCAAGTACAGAATACACAGATCACAACAGGACAGTGGCCATTAAAACTGAAAGCTTTCATCCCTTAAACTTCTAACTCCTGTTCCTACTGAGAAGACTGACCTCATTAAGCTGACGTGGATCTCAGACAACAACTTAAGCACTGACACCTTACAGCTCTACCTTCAACCTAAACACGTACCATAACCATTCCACCTGAATTGACAACGTTTCCAGCAACTGGCAGTGTCACTGTGACAGTCCCTTGTCCGCTGCTGGTGGTATTGGTGTTGGCTCCTGCTTGCACAATTTGTGCTCCAGCCAGACTGGCTGCTGGAATGGTGATCATGCCTGTAACAGGGACTGTAACTTTAAGAAAATAAAACACAAAAGAAAACAAACAAAAACACGCACACAGAAAGAAGGGAACACCATTAGTCCCACTTCTGTTTTTCACTCATTCACCCTTCCGCGAGATTTAGAAATGCATTACAAGATATCAACTAAAACATACTTTGTATTTTCTGTACCTGCACTGTAATCCCAGCCTCAGGTAAGAGAGCAGGCATTTGAAAGTGCAGAAGGAAACGAGCATTCCTACTCTAACAGTTCTTACCATGGAAAAAAAGGATGTTGCAGTTTTCCTGTATAACGATACAAACATCTTCCAGTTGCAGTGCCATCGCTCCACAGCAGGCACAGCACTACCAACCAGCACTGCAACGCACTGTTTGCACCGACAGCCATGGCAAGGCAATGAAAACCTACAAAATGGGCTTTGTGAAGTCCCAGCTTTTTGCACCAGAACTCGTACCTTGTTGGAGAATGGTTCCATCCGCATTAACGGGCTGATAGACTATGGTCTGCCCTTCAGCCGTTTGTGCTACCTGTTGTCCTTGAACTGCTATTTGCTGCTGAGTCTAAACAAAACAGAGAACATAGGAACTTCAGAAATTGCTTCCTTCTCAAGTTTCACAGTTCCTGAATTAATACACAGTGCTTACGGCACTTCAGGCGTGTATTTCTTTTGCTTTATTACTAGCATAAAGAAATAGAATGGAGTACAAACCAACTGAACTGAAGGTAAAGCACCTGAAGCACGTATAATAAACTTTTTCTAATACTGTAGCATTTTACAGTCAGAGAAACAAGTTCCAGTGTCCCATCTCATTATCAGTACATTAAATTCTGGTCCTAACAAACGAAAAAAACAAACAGCAGAAAACCCAGGTATGACTGGACTACTGCACAACATGGCGCGAGGATGGCATTAGCAGTACTTATGCTTTCAAATTGCAACAGATAGACAAAAACAGCCATGAACCAATATACAGAAACACGATGGATAAGAACATGCAGTCTATTTACTCTGTAAATGAAACACTACAACGATATTAATTTTATTCTCAAGTTCTCCTCCACATTAATATTTTTTTTCCTTTTTACTTAACCGTATCTTAAGTCATTTGCCAAGTTTCTCTTCCTGTTCCTCTCAAGAAAACCCTTTCATGCTGGTGCAGTTACCTGTGTCTGGCCAGCAGTAACTGCAGTCTGTGGCTGCTGTATAATGATCTGCTGGGTCTGGCCCTGCTGCCCCTGTACCTGTACAGCCTGCCCACCTTGAATCTGAATCTGACCTGGCTGGACCAACTGAATCTGTGGAAGAAAGAGTCAGAAAGGAACATTAACTATGCCTCTTATTTCCCCCTCCTTGGCCTCAGCATTACCAGATCATCTGAGGATGATTTATTGCTGCAAAGAAAAACACAAAAAAAACCACTGGTACTTCTCTTTTTCTATTTTATAACGAAGAGCTTTAAGTTACTCTTCCTTGTGACGCAGCAGTCACTGATAGAACAACAGTCAGGAACGTACAGAATAGAGGAAACGTAACACGTAACATGCCAGCATCGTCATGTTCCAGCAGATCTCCTCTGCTTACACAGTAAAACAATCAGAAGAAATAAATTCACACAGAACTAGGAATACTACTCAGGTCAAAGAAACGAGGGGTAAGATTGAAGATATCTGCAGAGCGTTAATCATCCAGCATACAGCAGTACTCAGGACACAAATAAAAATGTCATCAGCTTTGTGAAATCCTTCCGCCAATTTGGAGCATTTTTGTGAGATAAGAAAAAAAGAGAAACTGGGATATGGTTTGCAGCTTCTGCTTTAGAACCCAGTTACAGACCTTCCTCAACAACCACAGCATAAAGAACCTAAGACAAAAAATATTGTCTTTCAGCCAAGGAGTTTGAATTCAGTAACTAAATCAACCTCTCAGGACACCACCACCACCACCGCCTCCCTGGACGGTGCAGAACTTCATTCCCAAACCTCATTCTCTAATCACTGCAACACTTCCAACATGCTGCTCTCAGCAGTTCCTCTCTTATTTCTGAGGAACACGCTTAGAGTGCCTGCTGAAATTTAAAAACTGTCTTTTCAATAATTCAAAGCAATTGCTTCCAATAACATCATCACATATCCTTCCACAATATTACTTTATTTGCAACAGAAATGTTGAAATCCACCTTCTGCCATCACACGTAAGATGAACTCAAGCACAAGAATTATTTTCAAGATTTCTTTTTTTGAAGAATTCAAGTGCATTCTAATGAACTTGGAAGGTTTTCACATACAAAAGCCCGATATGAAGTGCATTTTAGATCCACTCTGAATGCTCAGTTAGTGTGGCAGATCACAGCCATCACTGCCCAGCCATTCTAACAGCGCTGAGGCGAACCCGCTCTATCTATCGCAGGAACACAGCTCTGCAATTCACCTCTAATGAAATCTGGGTTATCTCACCTGCTGCAGTCCTTGCGTTCCAGACACGGGGACTTGCATGATTGTCTGGCCCTGGCCCCCAGGCACAGCCTGCACCATGATGGGCTGGCCAGTCGATGTGATCAGCTGCCCTCCGCTCACCTGCACCATTAACGGCTGCCCCTGGACCTGAGGAACAGGAGAAAAAACAAACAGAACAATGAAAAAGTCTGGTGGTGTGAAGCCAGGAACAGAAGTGGACACCACGCATGGCTAGCTGCTTACCCATCTCAGTGAGCGACCAGAGAACTGACTCACTTCAGTCACAGCAGGAGTCGCTGTGCTGGGCTCGTAATCAGTACCAAATACCTTTGGTTTCTACTGCTCTCCATGCTGCTCTGCTGGATTTTGTAAATTATCTTTTCCTGCTGCACTCTATTCAATAAGGCATAAAAGCCGGAGAAGTTTTCTAGACACTATGACTATGTTCATGCACAGCCCAAGAGCAAAGTGTAATAAAAGAAACTTCATTAACTACATCACTGCTAATCTTTTACTGAGGCTTCTAATGAGAAAAAGCTCAAAGTAAGCCATTCTGGCAGAGAGATTCTGCAGCAGCTTCACTCTCTCCAATTACATGCTTACAACATTTCCATTTCCTAACCAATACGCAGCCTGTGATATTCTCAGAGAATTTTTTCACGGCTATTAAGTGAAGTTGTTAATGTAACAGCACAAAACGCAGCTCAGTAAGGAAGAGTGACAGCAAATGAGCTGCAGACATTCCTTGGACAAAAAACTTAATGCAGATTTCCAAATTGCACATAAAGGTCACTGCAATTGGTCACTAGGAAAAAACTTGATGAAAAAAAAGGCAAGGAGAGAAACTCCCCATTTAAACTTTATTATTACCTTCTAAGTCCCAAATGTATCTTTGAGAAGCCTACAGAAAGCCGCACCGCCTCAGCTGGAATGTGAGAGCAGCCTTTTGAACTGGGTAATGACTCCTAACCAGCTGGGAGTTGTTTACAAACCAGAACAACGTGACAAAAAATCAGAGTTCTTGGGTTTCCTAGCAGTAAAATTCAAGGGCAGGCAGTGCCAAACATTCACTCTTCAGGCACTTCCACTGTAGAGCACCAGACTGAGATCGGCACAGATTTTCATCACATTTCACTTCAAAAACCCACCAACTTCCCTCTGCATCGTTCAAATACCCTGCTGAACTACGTGTTAACACACAAACAGACTCGACCACAGTTGCATCCCAGGGATCAACGCCTTAAATAGGACACGGTAGCTCTAGAGGTCGCCTGATCCCCTTGCCACATTGATCCGTTCCTTCCTCAACCTCGCAGCTGTCACACAGCAGTCGCTGACAAAATGGGCAGTGTGTGTTCTGAGTTACCAGAGGGAAAAGCATGCTCGTGTCAGCCAGAGAAGCACAGCAGCAGTACTACGTCCAGCAGGCAGAAAGTAAAGTGGGCATTCCAGGATTCTTGTTAATGCAGTAAGGCAAGCAAAGGGAAAAAAAAAAAAAAGTGGGAAGATGTAGGAGGTCACAGTGATCCAAGCAATTCAAGTCAGCCAGCTTTTCATACTTGAACTCCAAACATAAAAAATGCTGTGTTCAACTTGACACCTGGCAAGACCATTCAGACCTGAAGCAAAACCAAAATACTAAGTGAGCAATGCACTGCTAAACTGCTACAGCTGCCCAGGGCTCCTCCACAAGTTTCCTACGTGAACTAATGAGATGGCAAATGCATTTGCATGGCCCACAGAACTTCACACTAAAGTAAATCAGGGCTTGAAATGACCATGTGCTTCTTTCCAATTTCTGCTACGTGTGCTGTTAGGAAGCACACATCTGAGCTCCCCTGCAATGTATAATACAGGCAGGAAATGAGCGATCAGGAGCTAATACTGTTGCAGCAGCTAATACTGTTTCCAGGCAGCTTTTCCAATTACAGATACAAAAAGTTCCTCTCTTCTTGCTGGTGGGTCACCCCCTACCTCTGCGTCTCTCTCTCATGTAGGAAAAAAACCTGCAAACGACTCACAGTGAGTATCAGAAATGTAATTGTGGAAGTACAGAAAATCTTTAAGCTTTATCTCTTTTAAGTCGCGTCTCTTGACTTCATTATCTTGGTGGGATTCTTCCCTTTTGACTCTCATTTCATCCACTGTTTGCTTTCTGAATTACTACAGCTGGAATTCATGAACACGCCTGTGATGCATTGAAAAGCTACAGCCTCACTCTCTTTGTGGGAAGCCTCACATAAAGCACACAGTATCAGCCAACAATTTTCCTGTGCCTATTCCAAATCCTGTAAAAAACACAGCATTAGATATGTGGTGATGGGGAGAGTCATGCAGTGCTCACAAACACAATTAGAGAGGTCACCACTACCTGGAGGGTCTGGACTTGCTGGCCTGAGGCGGATGCCACCTGGGCCTCAGTCTGCAGCTGGACAGCAGTGACACCACCCTGCTGCTGGGAACAGGAACAGGAAGAGCTTGAAACATGGAAATGCACAGCTCACACGAGACAACCACGCTTTGAAGAGGATGAATTGTAAAATTCATATACGCTGCTCTCGGAACATACGGAATGCGATTTAACACATCTAAGAATGGAATACCAGCAAACCTGTGCAGCATACTGGTAAGCTTCAACATTCCAAACAAAGGTCAGTCACAAAGAATGCGAGAGGTCATTGTACAGAAATCAAAATCGCTGCTTTCGGCTGCTGCCTATCTGCTAAATGTTTCCTTCCACTACTCAAACCTCCTGTGAAAGGCTTCCAAAATTATGATTTGTTAGCTGCAATAAAGGCCATACATTCCTTTCTGCACAGAAGAGCGGCACAGCAGACTAGGAGCTCATCTGTGCCGTCCCTGCATCAGTGCCTTCCCACCACTGACCTTGAAGGATGATCTCGAGATGTTGCAAGAGCAGTTAAACCTAAAAGCCTCATCTATCTTTAGCCTCCTTAGTAAGAGTCCCAAAATAATCAATGCTAACTGTGTTAGCATTTTGAGAGACGAAGGACAGTCTCTCTCCTGAAAGCTGAAACTGGCTTCTTCAAGAGAAAAAATCACTTAGAAAACCATTTCACATGCAGCCAATCACTGTGTTGGTGAGCACGCACTGAAAATGAAAGAGGTCAGTGAATGTTTTTACCTCTATTGCTTAGAAGATACCAGTCAAATCAAATATGTCTTTGGTTACCTGCTGGAATCAGGTATTTTTTGATAATTCTTAATTTATCATCTTCTAATTCCAATTCCAATCTTATTCTTACTGAAAAAAAAAAAATCAAACTCCACTAAATTCAGTGGAAGGAGCTGCTCCCAGCCATCAAGCACTCCAGCAGGCTGAAGGTAAGGCAGTGTGTCCCACTGAAAACATCATCCAGCATCTCAGTCATGTACGTGACAAACTAAGACACACTTCTTGCCTTGAACAAAGACACAACCAAAGCAGTTCAGCAGCAGCACAGCTCCTCTGTAAGAGCACTGCTCAATGTGCGTGGATGAAACTTAACACTGAAAACCTATAAGCCTTAAAGGCAAACCAAAACCAGGCCCAAGAGCCTGCAAGTTCTAATCCATAAACTGCAATCTTCTTTCTGGAATGGATGAACTCAACCAAAGTTACATGGTTGCTTGGTTTGGTTTTTTTTTTTTCTCACCATTCTTATGCTCATTTTGATGCATCTGAGGTAAAAAAAACTAAAGGATTTCAATACATATTTCTTTGATACTGTTTCCTCCATTTCGAGGACGTTAGTTTCCTCAAATCACCACCAGACTTCAAACTCCCCGTTGTACTGGAATTAAAACTCGTATTCCATTAACAAAGGTATTTTTTATAAGCCTATTTACTGTGATTTCAACAAGACGACACCGCAGCGTAGTGACAGAACTCCGGTAACTCAGGGGGCACCACAAAGCATCGCGCTGTGCCACTGTGAAGGTCTGTAACCCACCAGCACCAGCTCCCCATACCTGCTGCTGAATCTGCCCCGCCTGCACCACGATCTGCTCCGTGGAGCTGTTGCTGTTGGCTGCGTACTGCTCCATGGTGCTTCAGCTCCACACGACCAAGGCGCAGCACGGTCTGCGTAACTGGCAAGAAAAGAGAAAAAAAAACAGGTGATCGTTGTCCCAAAGTTTGAAGGTTGTTGTGTCCTACAGCAGCTGGACAGCAAAGCACCTGCTGATGTGGAGGTGGTGCCTTGCGCACAGCCAGGCCGTGGTTTAACTGCACACCTTCCTCTTTCATAATGTTGCCTTACTTTGGAACAGAAAACAAGGCTTGGGTGTAAAACTGACCCAGACATTGAGACTTAAAGCCAAGTGAAACAGCCTCTCCTTCCCCAACTACACAACAGTCCCTCCTTATCTCTCTTCCTTATGTATATTTTAAAAAGAGAGCAGATCTCATTTCTTGGAGCCTTGCCTGGACACATGAAGAACACTGAAACAAAATACTTTGTTCCATTACCTCCTTCTCCCTCACATCATCCACAAAGGAATTCTTACTCTTACTTTTAATGAGATATCTGATTTACCTGTGATTGTTACACTGCTGAAAAGGCAGCACGTAACTCTCACAAGCAACAAAAAGCAAAACAGTTTTCAAGAAAAAAAATGTATACAGTCTGTAGTCCCAATTTCCACTACCTGGAAGAGTTGCTGTGCTTACGGCTGCAAACTGCTCAACCTTCCTGCCCTTTCACTTTACAACACCCTTTCTGCTTCAGTGTCATTTATCCAGCAGCTCCCCTTATCCCTGTAAGCTAAGAAAACACACAATTATTTACCACATTTATCACTGATAGCATTAACATCACTGTGCAGCAAGATGGGCCACAGGCAAGTCTTATTACCAGAGGCTTGATACTCAGCCATAATAATGTAAGGACTGGGACTTTGGTTCAGAACCTTGACGCAGTGATACGAACCCTGGAGATCACAACGATAACCCGAGTCACAGCACAGAAAGGCCCTGCGCTCTGATGCAATATCAGCTCCATCCGTGGCTCGTTTAGCAATAGCTTCTCACTGCCTTCCAGAAGAGATGCTTTTCTTTTTTTTTTCCCCTGCAGATGACGCTGCCTATCAAAGTTTCCATCTGAATTCTGCACAGTACATTTAATTTCTGCCCTCGCTGCCTGTGGGCCTACCAGGAAGCAGCTCACTCTGCAGGGAAGCTGCTCAGTAACGAGCACAGGACACCACTGAGTTCTATTTGCAAGAAGATCTCAGGCTTTCTAACACCAAATCAGAAATTAAAGGATATGTGTATTTAAAAATGGTTTCTATCAGATCTCTTCTGTCAGGCCTGTCTATAACATAAGACAGCACCGCAGTTCTATTTCAGGTGCACAGGCTGTGGCCCTGAGCTGAAGTTTCCCACGTGCAGGATCACAGCCCTCCAAGGGATTACTTCATTTCCTTCATTGAAACAAAACAGCACCAGTGTTACTGTATCAAAGCTGAATTTTAAAGCTCAGCCTTGGCTTTCAGTAGGTGCTCCTCCCACAGCTGATCTCACTTGTCAGCTCCTGCTCAGCAACTGTCTGCACAGAAAATGATTTAAGAGCTCAGTGTTAACATGCATTCATATACAGAATCATAGAATGGGCTGACTTGAAAAGGACCACGATGATCATCAAGTTTCAACTCCCTGCTATGTGCAGGGTCACCAACCACCAGACCAGGCTGCCCAGAGCCACATCCAGTCCGGCCCTGAATGCCTCCAGGTACGTGCACACATATACGAGGGTACTGAACCTACAGCAACTGCTCTCTCAGCCAATTACCTGCACCAAGAACCACTTAGCTCCAAAGCACCATTTTAAAGCGTGCTGCACGCTGACGTTCAACCCGAGCCGGCAGACCTCGGGGTACGGGCACAGCACGGAGCCCCAGGCGGGACGCACCAACATCGCCCGGCCACGTGTCAGGGGAGCTCAGCGCTCCAGCAGCGGCCTCAGCGGGGCTCAAAGTGCAGCACAGCGGCGCGAGGCCGCCGCCATTTGGCGTCCAGGTGCGTTGTGGCCCCGCTGCCCGATGCCGGCGGGGGGCGGCGGCGGCGGCGGGAGGAGGAGGGGGAGGTGGAGAGGAGGAGGGGCAGCGCTGCCCGCGGCCCATCTGTCAGCGGGGCGGCGGGGAGGCGGCAGGAGGCTCGCTCGCTCGCCCGCCCCGCTCCCCCCGCTCGAGGGCGGGGCGCTGCCGGCCGCCGTCCCCGCAACCCCATGCCGGCAGCGCCGCGTCCCCGCCGCGTTCGGGCTGGCGCAGCTTTCCCTCCATCGCTGCCGCCCTCGGCCTCGCGCTTCCCGGCGCGCCCACCGAAGCTCCTCTCCTCCCGCGGCCCGCTCGCCCCGGGCCCTCTCTTCTCTCGAGGCCGCCCCCCGCGCCCCGTCCCTTCGGCTCCCCGTCCCCTCGGCTCCCCCGGCTGCGGCCGGCCGGCCCCGGCCCTGCGATCGGCCTCCTGACTGGTCACTCGGCCCCGCCAATCCCGGCGCTGGGGCCGGCGCTCGGGGGCTCCATATTGGCTGCTCGCACTCACCGTGCCTCGCTCCCCCGGTTCGGGTCCCGCGCTGATTGGCTCCGCTACCGGCCCCCGAAACCCAATCAGCGCCTCTACTCGGCCGCCGCGCAAAATGGCGCCCAACCCCGAACAAAGACAGGAGAGTGGGCGGGCGCAGGCGGCGCGTGCGCACGGCGGCTCTCGCTCCGGATGTCCCCCCCTGCCTCGGCTCGGCCCTCGGCGCCAGGCACCGCCCACCCGCGGCCTGCCCGGCTGCAGCGACTGCGCTTGCGCCATAGGGAGCGCGCGCGCCTCGCGGGGCCGCCGACGCCGGCGATGCGCACGCGCAGCTGCGGTTCCGCCCTCATCCCGTCACGTGTTCTGTAGGTCCCGCCTCTGAGCGTCTCGCGCCCGCGCTTTCGCTGCGGTAGGTCGGCCTTCGGAATGTTCTCGGCGGGTACCATAGAGGCGGCGTTCCTCCAGCCCGCCTAGAGGGGCTGGCCAGCGAGCGGGTGGAGGCGGCCATTTTCACGTGACGCTGGGAGTGCGGTAGTGGAGGTGACGGAGCGGGCCGAGCGATGTGGACTGTGCTGGGCAGGCTTGCTACACTCGCAGCGTTGCCAGTCCGGGCCCGGCAGTCCGTTCTTCACGTCGTGCCCGCGGGTGGGCTCTGCTGAGGGGTGTCCTGAAGCGGGCAGGGGTGGCCTGGAGGAGAACACGAGGCCTGTGGGTTCTGGCTCGACTTGCGCTGGCCCAGCTGGTGGGCTATTGCTGGGACGGCCCCGCTTTGCTCAGGGCCGTTGCTGCCCTTTGTCGTTCTTTCCGCGTAGTGGGCGCTTTGTGCTCCAGAAGCACGCTGGGTGAAGGCTCAGCCTTGCGCCCTGAGCCACGCTGCCCCGTTCCGTTCTGAGGTTGCTATTAACGCTGTTCTTTCTGTCATCTTTCCAGCCACTGAAGCCTTCACCGCAGCCTGCCTTACCATGGCCACCCACGGCCCGGAGCAGGGCGAGCGGGTGCGTAGGAAACGGGTTATGTGGGCTGCTGTGCGGTGTGCACTGAGACGTTCCTGCCTGATAACAGCAGCTGATTGCACCGTACAGCTTAGGGGACTTTATTGGCTGATAATAAAGCTACTTCTCACTGCTTCTGTGCTTGTATCAGTGATGCAGTTATTTTGCATCAGCACAGAGCTCGGGTGTTAAGTGCCTGGGAGTGTGGAGCTCTGGCACGCGGTGTGCTGTAGATGTGCACTGGTCTAAAGGTACTCTGTGTTATGTATCTTACCTTTCTCAGTTTTGATTGTGTAAAATGAACTGGTGAGCTGGTGCATGTTTCTCATATCTGATCCTGTAGAAAATATGCTATTGTCATATTGACTTTATAATCTAAGTCTTATACAGGCTACCATATAGATACCGTTGTACAGGTTTGTGCAGAGTGTTCTGTTATCTTGGCCAGCACTCTGAGATTTCACACTTGTGCTTGCTTTTTAGATGAAGTGTGTTAAGGGAGACCTGTTTTCCTGCCCCCCGACGGACGCGTTGGCACATTGCATCAGTGAGGACTGTCGCATGGGTGCAGGGATAGCTGTTCTTTTTAAGAAAAAGTTTGGAGGCGTCGAAGAGCTGTTAGGTCAACGTGAGTAATTCTGCATGATCATGGGAATTTAAGGACTGACGGATTTCCAGCTTGAAGGTTGCTACCAGGGGTCCAGGGTCAATTGCGTAGTAGACTGTAACTCTTCCTAAAATGCCACCTTCTTCCCTTTAGAAAAGAAGACTGGGGAGGTGGCAGTTCTCCAACGAGATGACCGATATATTTACTACCTGGTAAGAGTAGAGAATGACTCAAGTGCTCCCCTGTAACAAAGTTGTATTCGATATTACGAAGACAGCTTTAATAATTTTGAGTACTTTCTCCTAAGTAAGTGAGATGTATTACTCAAGTCTTCCTACTGAGGAGAAGCCAAGCTCTCTTGTGTGTGTTTATTTATACTTACAAGTTCACAGCACTAGCTGCCAAATTATACTATTTCAAGCTATGAAACAGTTCTTTTTCCAAGTCTCTTTCCCTTCACAGTGGTGACTCTGAGTGTAGCGACTCAGGGTGTAGAGGAGTGTTGGAGAGAGGAGGGGGGGAGTTTGCAGTGGTAACGACTAATTTATAACTTTTTTACTTTTATATTCAGATTACAAAGAAGAAATTTTCTCACAAACCAACATATGATGACATGCGGAAGAGTTTAGAAGCCATGAAAACTCACTGTCTAAACAATGGAGTTACTGATATTTCTATGCCTAAGTAAGCAAATTAGTGCTGTGTAAATAACTCAGTGTTACTTGGGTAGGAGGATGGTTTTGAGACGTGATCTCCTACTCTGAGAGTTCAATATCATCTTGACTGTAACTCTTCTGATCCGTTGTATAAATGAAGCTTGTGTTCCCTTGTGGGTTTAAGTGATAAAAGTACACTCAGGTTTGGTTATTTCTGTAATCTAACTGCATTATATTGACTTAAGGTGAGTTGGGTTACTGCCTGAAGGGCTTGTTGTTCACTGCATACTCCAAAAGAGCTCATTATAGTTATTTTGATGTTTTATTTTCCAGAATTGGGTGTGGACTGGACGGCCTGGATTGGGATAAAGTTTCAGCAATACTTGGGGAAGTGTTTGAAAACACAGATATAAAGATCACTGTTTATACTCTCTGAACAAAAGAGTCTCATTTCTCTGGCTTTCAACAGCGGCAACTTCTTAACTGAGGAGGGGGAAAACTGCATGCTGAGCACAGCTCACTCGTGTGTTGGTGGTGGCCGTGGCTCTAAAAGAAAATAAAAAGCTCAAAAGTCTCAGAGCAGCTGATTTGGGATGTAGTATTCAGGGAACCCGTGTTGAAAGCAGGGGTATTGTGACTCTCAGGGAGTTCCCAGTCTGTCCCAGCAAGCCACCAGATGTCACTCGTCCTCCACAGAGCACCTGCCTGCACTGGAGCCTCCTACAGCTGGCAGTTCCTGTGCAGTGAAATTGGAGCTGTCTAATGCTTGGATATTTGTTGTTCTGGTTCATAATGATGACCTGTGCAGCCTCGTCTATTTTTATTTTCCAGGATTTGCAGTGTTCATATATAGCATATGTATTCTCTGCAGGATTAAAAAGTAGTTTTTGTATCTTTTGGACATGAGCACTTTTTAAAAATGGAATTGTACACCAGAAGAATTGTGCTGTCAACATGCATGTGACAGCTGTTCAGTACTCTGCTGTCAGATCAGAGTCCGTGCAAATGTCTGTACGTGTGGTGGCTGTAGGCAGTGGGAGGAAAGCAGAGTTCTGGAAGGGAATGCTGGAGGCTTACAAAGACGCCTGCTGGTGGTTCTGTGCGTTCTGTGGGTGTGATTGGTGTCACATGCAGCCCTCTGTTTTCTGAGCCCTTGCATATGAATGACTGACATGGTGTTAAAAATATATGGAAGCTAAGGTTTTTCTGTGTTTGTTTTGCTTTACTGTGTTTGTAGTTTGGCTGGTACACGTTTGGTGTCACCAAATGTGAAAATCAGTGCCAGCTCGTTAGGCCATGGCTGAACACTTGATTTGGGGAAGTTTGGTTCCGGTACTGAACAGCTAACATCAAGTATTTCCTTTGAGTTTGATGTTTACCCTCTGCCCTGTAATACCAAATCTTTCTACTTCTGTCACATCGAATGCTCACAGAAATGCCAGAAATATTGATTAAACCGAATAGATGGGACAGCTGAGAAGTTGATAGTGGGAAGAAAGGTTTTGAGTTGCTTCTTGCTACTCATTGAATGTATGGAGCCGTTCCTGTTCTGACTTTATGGGTGAATCTGTACTGTGTTTTTCTTTGCTAATGGAGATCTGCAGATTCTGTTTGTGTCTTTAAGAACTGCACAGTGTTTCCTTCCCGTTTGACTCCTCTGCTTCTTGGTTTTGGTGGATAATTGCTGTAGCCAAATACAGAGCTGTGAGAAATAAACTTGAGTGAGACAAAGGAACTCGGAGTATTGAGCTGATCAAGAGCTGATCAAGAGCACCAGGCCTGTTCCTTCATTTAGCCCTTGGGCTTATGTCTGTTTTCTAAATCCAGTGGCAAAGAAATGAAAGCCGCAGGTGCTCTGACTGCTGCTTGGGCTTTTGTTTCTTTCTTTTTTTTTTTTTTTTTTTGCATTGGAAGGTAATACAGCATTTTTTGTGTGCTTGTGCATGTTTAGTGCCTTTCAAATTTGTGACAGTGCAGCAATCAACATCCAACATCCAGCAGTTGGAAGAAGGAGGCCTTTCAGACTCAGTTTCCTAGCTGGTGTGCTGCTCTGTCGCCTCCATCTGTTCTGTGCCTTGTGTATGGAAAGTACAATCCCATGTTTTCTGTCTGCATCTCTGCGATTGTGCATTCTTCTGAAACTGTACTGCTAACTCTCCCTTCTGGTCATGCTGTGCTCCAGATATGAATTTCATATTATGTGTGGGTGTCCCACAGCGTCTACCTGTCAGGTTAATTTGGGGCCCTCTTTGAAATAGAGAACAGATAGCACTGCTTTACTCTTTTTCAGCAGGCTCCAATTTTATTTCATTTGCTTAGCCCAGGTTTATATCACAGACATACTGAACAAGGGGAAAATTGTATCTGATGCATTCAAAATCAAGTATTTAGGGCTCTACCATAACTGTAGAATTAAGAAATTAAGTGTAACTTAAATTTCAGGTACATTGAGGAGGACAGAGGAATAGAACTTTATTTATCTTTTTGATGCTGATGAAGCATGCTGTTTGTCAGTAAGTTTTATCACATCGGCAGCTTTGTTCTGCAGTCTTTTATCTCCAAGTAATCCTGGTATGTGAGGCCTACGCTCATTCCTGTTGCTCCACTGCAATGCATTTCATTCAAGGCTTTAACCACACAGCTCAGTGCCTGTTCCTGGCAGCAGTGACAACACCGTTTTGTTTCAGGGGGAGTGGGGTGAGTGGAGAAGAACAACAAAACAAAGTACCATCAGATTCCGAACGCTGAATATCTGTTGTATGCATATTTGTCATCCATTAGGGCCTAAAATTCCAGAAGCTGGCACTGCATCTGCTGGATTCAAAGCTCTGGGAGGCAGGGGTGTCCCAGTGTCCAAGTCAGTTGTGTCTCTGTGTGGATCTTTCCTGAGATGGGCCTGGAGGGAAGGGAGAGGAACATGTTACAAGCTTCAAATGCTTTTGTGTTTTACTGCTTAAATAGGCGAGTCTTCTGCACCCCATAAAAAGGAGCATGCTGTCACAACTGGTTGCTTTTAGTGGTGTGTTGTTGCTTTGGTTTTTGTTCTGGGTGTGGGGGGAAGCTCCATTTTTCTGTATGTTCTTTGGTTTCTTTCACATGTGTTCTGAATATCATACATGCAGGGAATAGTGAGGTACTCTTGTTCCATCTAGCGATCCTACCTTGTAATTCTTTTTCCCCTGGGAGGTGTTCACTGCGAGGGAAAAAATATCTCTAAGTCCCTTCAGCATCTGCTGTGAAGGAGACAATTGTGTCCTTTCTGCCTCTAGAGGGGGAAGGTGCTGCCTAGGATAATATTCAGGTACTGCCAGGTGCAGCTGGGCACAGAGGGAATAGTAAATGAAAATGATTGCATGCTGTGTTTTTAACAACCTGAAGAAAAAGACAAGTCTAGTAGTAATACAGGGAGCCAGGTGAGCAAACAGAAGTCCTCACTCACGTGAGCTTCACTGCAGAATCTCAGCCAACTTCTCCTCGTAGTACTGGAAGTTCTCTTGAATGTCCTCCCATGGCACGAAAGCCTTTGCTTCCTCTCCTTCTTCCTGTTCCACAAAGTTCTGCCAGACGTACTCAAAGTCTTGAGGCTTCATGATCCTCAGCTTGCAGCCAGCAGACTTCATTTTTTTCAGGGCAGCCTGCATGTCTGGCTCCTCCCACATGAAGAGGCGTCCCACCATGATGGTAAGGCGCAGGTTCTTGTTCTTCCTCAGGGTCTCGCTGATCCGATCGGCGCAGGCCACGCAGGGGCTGGAGGAGACGTACCAGGTGATGTTGTAGCGGAGGCTCGATTCACACTTTGGCAAAATGGTGTTAAAGAAAGCGATTTCTGCATGGGAGGCTGCGTGCTCATCTTCCAGGTAACCCCGGGAAGTCGTCGACTCTTTGCCTTGGGTCTCTACAACGTAGCACAGGAAGGTTTTGTTCCTGCCTGAGCTGTATTCCACGTTCCTGAACTGGAACTTGAAAAATATGGCTGGGAGGCGTTCCCTGTGGGAAGTAGAGAGGAGAGAAGCATCTCAGGAAGCAGGTGATGAAAGGTTACAGCATTGCCTTAGATCCTGTGTGATCGTGGACCGGTCGCACCGTCCACCATGATTCTCTTTTGCTATCTATTAAAAGGAGATCCCTGCCAAGAAAGGCTAAAAATGCATTAAACACCATTGGGTGATCAATTACTGTGTGGTGAGGCTTCCAGTTTTCAACACTTAGTCTTTTTCGCTTTGATAAATGGCAGTACGGAGCTTTCCTGCTTGCTCCCTGTAGCACCTAACTGGAGCGTGTAGTACAAGCATTTGTGCTTGAAGAATGTTGGAAAGAGGAAGGATACTGCTGACAACGTGCCCTGTGACCTGTGAGGGTGGGAGTGATGGCTGCATGGAGTAGCCAAAGCAAAATAACAAAAAGCAGCACAACATTTATTGCTTAGATGCTAGTAATCTTCCAGAGTCTTGTACTCCTCTCATCTGAGCTTCAGGTGCACCTGTAACCTTGCTGTTCCCATTGAAGCTATAATCAATCTTTGTAAAACATTAAGTGTCTTATTCATCTCTTGTCTACAGTTACGTTATAATGTCAGATCTCTCCAGGGGGTGCAATGTGAAAAGGTCAGGACAGCTTCTCAAACTCCTAGAAATATTAATTGCGGAGAGCAGTGAGGCTGCAGGAGCAGCGACAGAATGTTGTTCTGCTGAGAGGAAAGAATCTATGATGCAACCTGGCCCAAGATATCTCCAGAGATGGTGGAAATAAATGGCGTGGAAAAGAATGAATGGACTCAAAATCAGTATGCTGTGCTCAGTGTGTGAGAAGTGAATTGCTGTCAGGTTGCTAGCGGAGAATCCTGGCCTGGGCCGTGCTGAGAGTGTGGGATGGTTGCAATCCAGGAATAAGGACTGTTCTGTGAAGGGCTGGAATTTGATATATATATAATCAGCAGGTGTCTTCCTATGGACTGTAATGAAAAAGGCCTCGCTTTGAGGGTAAGACTGCACGAAATGCCCCAAGTAGTGTGATGCTCTGCTTGTCAGGTTGGAATGGGAACAGCTCAACAGGAAGCAGGGTGTAGCAAACAGTCCATCACGTCATACCTGGATGCAAGAGCTGCAGCATGGGCTGCAGGACTTCTGTGTGGAAAAGGATTGCAATTGGTGCTGTCTACATGCATAACAGAGTAAATTATAGCTGCTATCAAGCTTTAGCCACGTCACCCTAAATGTTTAAATACATTTTTCTGTCTCTGTTTAATTCCACTTAGAAACTTCCAGAAACTTCTCATTGCTACGCACATATCTGCACTTGTCCTCACACAGCCAGAGGTTTCCCTACTGCCAAAGTCCAGTGGTGTTTTTGGCTTTTCAGAAAGCAGGAGCATAACAGAGCACTGTCCCTGCAGAACGTTTGCTGCTGCTCCAGCAGGTGGAGGCTCTGGTTGGTCCTGCAGCGCACATTTGCAATGAAAGGCCTGGAGTTACAGCTCACACTTCTGGTTTGGGTTTCCCAACAGTGTGATTTTACAGATGAGTGACTTCCCTTGGAATAGCAGTGTGCTGCACAAGCCAAGTCGTGTGAGAGTTGATACGGTTGGGTTGGCACAGTGCTTTGTGCTCGGAGGAGAAGATCGGTATTGTTCAGAATGCAGTGAGATGGATGAGTCGAAACAGCATCGTGTGTGGAACAGCAGCCACACCAGGAATGTCTGCTGGTGCTGTCACTCAAAAAGTACCCTAATTCTTTTTGCATGTCATTGATTTATATAACGATGCTTGGTTAGAGTGCAAGGCTGGCTTCAGAAGTTTTATTAGAAGCAGATTTTCTGCTGCTTTCTGAACTGTATTATTAAATGCTTACGTTATTCAGTGCTGCTTAGATGAGGTCTATCCAAGCTGGGATTTAATAGCAAAGCCTGTCTGGGGCCTTCTGTGTTAGCATTGTCTTAGCTGGAGGTGTGCTCATGAGGGATGGCAGCAGTAGTGTGGATACAGGCTTTTGTTTTGGTTACTGAGCAAACAGATCATGCTGGTCTGCTGTGATTTGGTCTGTGGTTCTCTGTGCACAAGTTCTAAACTACCTAGAAAAGCTTCTGGAGTCCTCTAAATTAAGGGAACAGAGGGAAAACATTCAGAAATGGAAGCGAAGGTTACCTGTTAGAGCCAGTCTCATTTTCTTTGTGTTATAAGACCTCCTCTGGTGTCACTGAACAGCATCGACAGGCTATTTCAGCAAAGCTTCTCTCATTCCACAAACTCCATTTGTTGTCTTTGAGCTAAGAAAAGTTTACATCTTTCTGAGAACAGCACTTGTGCTGCTCTCTGTCCTAATAATAATAAACGACTCTTCAGATAACGATGTAATGATTCCTTAATTGAGGTTTTCTTTGGAAGCCCAGCCTGCTGAGTGCCACGAGCTGCCGGCCGCCTCGTGTCGAAGGCAAGTTTGTGTGGGTGCAAGAAGCTGTTCTGAAGGAACGTCGTGTGTTCAGATGTGTCACATCGCATGTGTCGCAGGTGCGAGTTAATTCCTGATTTAACTCCCTTGACTGCAAAGTGGTGACATCAGAGATGAAATTAAGCATGTATGTTTTGATGAGCAGTTTGAACAGCAGTGATCTGTTCCAGGATGCGTTGACTCACTGTGTGTTTAATCAGACCTTCTAGACAGATCTGTGTGCTTATCATCCTGGCATCCATCTGAGATTATCTGGGATGTTCACTTCAATCTGTCCTGGCAGCATGGAATGTGCGTTGGCTTAATGAATAGGTTTCCAATAAGGAATGTAAACAAAGCTAAGGGCTTTTTCCAAGCCTAAGTAATTGGCTGAGAGCTTGGAAAACTTGATGGTTGATTCGGAGGCAACCAGTAGATTGTTTGCTAGTTAACAAGAATCTCCTTAATCCCACGTAAACCAGAGGAGGGAGGGCACTTCAGCACAAGTGTGAATTGTAAACAACAGTCCTCAGGAGGCTCAGCTGCGTCCTTGCTGTGACTTCCCAGCAGCTGGGACTTGGGCAAGGTGTCTCTGGTCCCCTGAGCAACTGGGAAGTCCCACAGCAAGGGGTGCAGCAGTGAAAGAGCAGGAAGAGCATCCACGTGTGCATAGGATTGCATGCGTGCTTGGATGCTGTCTGCTGCTTTCTCTCCCCTCTGAGTTACAGCGTGCTTGGCAGATGACCCGAGATGAAGCAAGGTATCATGATTGTTTGGGTAGGTTTAAACGCTCCACAAGTGACTGATAACCAAAATACATTCATAAGAAAGCTTTGTCGTGCTGTGAAAGCAAAGCCTACTTCTTTGGACGCTGAGGTCCAGCCTCGTGTCTGTTCCTGAGTAAATCACCAAGTCTTGGCAAGCCTGTTTTCCCAGGATTGCATGGCAGGTGGTGTGCAAACGTTAACATTATCCCTATTTTGCCCTTTTTGGTTTTCTAAGATTAGGAAAGCAGAATGCCAACAGAATGTACCAAGATGAGTTCCGCTCTCCTATTTCTTACACCAGACCCTGTATTGCTGTAGGTGCTAAATGCAAGCATGGTGTTGTCTGGCCTATAACTGTGAATTTATTAAAATAGACAACTGCCAACTATTGTGGTGACTGGGCTGACAGCTGCTCTGCTTTCTTTCGTTTTGCAAATAGAGAAGCCATCTTCCCTCTCCAATAAGGGCACGGTGTTTAGGAGCTGCATGTGAGCTCTGTGTGTGTGGAAGGGGGGGTGCTTTGGGATCTGAAGTTTTTGCTGCTTTTTGCCAACTACTCCCAAATAAACACTTGTGCTCATCGATGATAGAAAGTCTGTAATGACCAGCTGTAACAGAAACCAAGGATTTATCACCTCCTGATAGAAGGAGCCTCATTTACACTCTAGGTAATGTGTGAATAAATACATCCACTTAAATGTCATGAAAAACACACAGCAGGAGATTGCATTTATCCAGGGCTGTACTGAGCCAAATGCTGACAAAAAGTGAGGGTGGGGGGAAGTTAATGTTCTCAAACAGACTGATCAGTTTCCCAACATGTTTTGTGTGCACCAGACTCTGCTATGAGCCTCAGCTTGAAAACTTGGCTGTGTGTCAGAAGATGCCCCAATCCAAGGGCTGAAACTGAAATTCTTGAATAGTAGGCAGTGTAATTGAATTTAAGTGCTTGCACAGTGGCAGTTGCTTTCTCATAACTCGCATAGCTGGCTTTATTGGCTGAAAAATTGTAAGTAATTGGGAAATCTGAGCAGTGATGAGAGCAGGTGGAGGCACAGCCTGCAGTGACAGGGTCCTTCCCAGAACGAGAGCAAAAATTGCTGGATTTTCCTGCACGTCTTTCTGGGTCCTCTGGGATTTCTGCTTCACTTCCTCATCCTCACCTTTAGCACCCAGTATATCAGTCATAAACTAATAATCAGGGGATACCAGGCCGTGAGCGATGCAGGAATTCTCCAGATTGCTTTAAACAGATTCCAAATAGTATCGTAATGAGCACAGCATGAATACCCCTAGTGACAGCTCTGTGCTCCCTCACTAAAAAGCTGAGTCCTTCAGGGATTTCAGCTCTTGTCTTGCTTGGTATCAACATACAGAAAGAAAATGGGCTGCTCCCAGCTTCGTGTATGCAGATAGCAGAGCATGGATTTAAACTCATTCCCAAAAAAGCTTTACCCAAGGTAATCCAATCGACGATTTTCAGAGCCTATGCATTCATCCCTGCTTAACCCAGCTGTGTGAGATGAAACCTCGTGCGTGGCTTTCAGAAGTGCCAACCCAGCACAGTTTGCAGCATCTCTTACTGGTGGCCACGTCCCAGGCAGCAGCCCTTCCTAGTGGGGCTCTGCAGTCTGCTCTGAGGTTTGCATTGCAGCAGCTGGAAGAAATCATGGGTTTGGTTTATGCACTGGGAGCCTTGGTGACTTCAGGGGAGATAGAGGGAAGAACGACATGGGGCATCTTTACACCAGAGCTCTGACCATTTCTGAGTGCTTAGAGAGAACAGATTACACCTTTTTAGCGGTTGTCAGCAATGTCTGACAAGAGTTCAGCTTCCTAGCAGATCTGTTGTATCTCCTCTTTCAAGGGCCAGGCTCTCTGCAACAAAAGAAGCTGCCTGCTGCTTTGCTGGCTTGAAAGCCACCTCTTGTTTTGATGCCCATCCATGAGCAGGGCTTCTCCAAGTGCCCAATTCCAGATGTGAGCGTGGAGCTCTTGGAAGATCTGTCCCTTAGGTACGTAAAGCAAATCAGCCATAGCAGGGCTATTTTTCCTAACGCACAGATAGAGAAACTTTCAGACAAGAGCCATTGATTACGCCAAGAAATCGATCTCTGCTCACCAAGGGCCGTGCCTCCCATCGGGCAGCCATCCCAGTGCACTCAGCAGGACTCCATGCAATGCAAAAGACTGCTGAATTCTAGGGAAGCAGCCCTACTTGTATAAAAACAAATAGATTTGACTGCCTGCCTGCCCAGACTGAGTCTGTGCTCCAAAACACGTTGAAACTTAACAAAATCCCGCAGCAATGAAAGCCAGACTTAAAGCCTTTAAGAACACCGAGAAGGGCACGACTTCAGATGCTGCCTTTAGTTACCTGACATCAGAGCTGAGGCAAAAACCTCTGAAGGTGCCCATGTCAGACTGCTGCACCCCTGCCTGGTGAACCCCCTTACCCTGTCACGATTTCAAACGGAGGCAGGTCTTCCCTCTTCACCTTCTTCTTCTTTTTCCCCTCGCCCTCCTCTGCGTTGTCGGGTTCACCATTCTGGGTGTTGCTGGGCTCCTCCTGCTTTTCTGCCATCTCCTCGGCTGTGGGGGCAGTCAGTTACAGCCACCGGGAAAAAGAGCAATTTTGGAGAGCTCAGGGAGTGCAGGGGGCAGGGAAAAACAGAGCTGGGAGTCCCTGCGCTGGAGGCAGTTGTCGGGGGCTAAATATGGAACAAAGCAGCGATAGAGGCTGGATGGGGTTGGGTGTCCCAGGCTCTCAGCTTTCCCTCCCCAGCTTTTGCTACGTCTTTTTAACGATCCCCCGCGCTCCTTTTTAATTTAAAATTAAGTGACGACTTGGTGGTGGGCGGGACAAGAGATGGGTGGAAAATCCTGGAAGTGTAAGGATCTGTTTATCCATGACTGTGACGGATCGCTGGCAGGTTCTCCATTCACCTTCCATTTGCCAGTTTATTATTTTGCTGACCTTGAAGGACCACTGTTTTGGCTCAGAGGGGAGAGTGGCAATCCCCTTTGGTTTGCTGGAAAATCCCCATTGTTGTGGATTTGGCCCTGAGAGCCACCTGGAGCGCCCAGAGCAAGAAATTGCCTTTCCTTCCCCTGCTCTTCCAGGAGAATGAAATCCCAAATTGGAGCTTGTTGAAGTTAGTGTTACAGATGGTGTCGGTGCGAATTGAAGCCAGAAGTTTGTTCCAGATGTTGTTAGGCTGATAATTCACAGTGGGTATTTGGGGTGCAGGACAGTTCCAATTCCACGTGCTGAGCACATTGTTCTCTATTTTTTCTCTTCTTTGGCTGAATATTTAAAAAATGCTTAGCACTCCAAGAGTGATGACACTGCTAGATAAGAGTACGGATTTTGAAAGCCTGTTGCCTTAGAGATTCTTGCAGGGTTCCTCTGTTTCTTTCCCCTTTGCTTCTGCAGGGGATGCAGATGTCGGATGAGTGATTGCACAGGAGCCAAAGAATCAGACAGGCTGTGAGCCGTGATGATAAACGTGTGTGCAGACCTGGAGGTGAGGCAGCACTTAGTGGGACTGGTGTGAGCTGCGTGCCAAGGACAGAGCACTTGGAGGCATTGTGGTGAAGTGCTTATTGTGATTGCTCTGAACTATTGTGGGTGTGGAACCCGTCCTTCATAAAAGAAATGAGGACTACAGAGATTCTATTGACACAAGCTTTGGGTGTTTGCTTTGCTCAGCAGTGTGTCAAGCAGATCTCTCAAAGAGGCTGTGGTGGCTTGGAAGGATACTCAGGGTTTGTCTGGGCTTCCCGTGAGCTGTGAAAAGGGGTTTGTATGTTCAGTTTGGGAGGATTCTCTCTTCAGAAGTGCAGAATGATGTGAAATTCTTCTCACAGTTTAATCAAAGTTTGTATCAATCCCATGTGAGCCAAGCCTGGTGAAAACCTGAGCATGCCTTTCTCAGAGAAACTTTTCTGTGACATGAAGTGGGGTGAATGGGAGGCGTGTAGTGATGCAGAACAAAAGTTTTAGCCAAAGCACATTGGAAATCAAAGCTCCAGCATCCTGGGTTCTGCACCCAGGAGCCCTCTGTCATGATTTAGATGAAGATGAAATGTTGTGCTGTATCGAACATTCAGGCTACGTTAGCGGGAAACAGCTTTGAGGAGGACAGGCTGCTCTGTGTAGGAATCAGAGATGTGAGCACCTGCTTTCATCTCACACCTGTGGTTCCCCCATCGCCAGCTCTCCTACAGCTTTACAGGCTGTGCACCACCACAAAGGGATGAACTTGTGCTGCTGGGCAGATAGTTTGCCTTCTGGCTGCTTTATCAAGCCCCTTGCTAGCTTGGCTTTCTGCACTGTGAGAATCACAATACCTTTTGTAGTTCTTCACTAACAGCATCACTGAAATGTGTTCTGGGGACAGGGCGCACCACCCACCCCTTCACTCCTCTGTTTGCTAGTGATGAGAAAGTTGTTTATGTGATGGCTGGCATGGAGTTTTGTGACAGCAGCGCAGTGAAGGATTTGAGACGTTCCAAGACATCCTATCCGTGGAACATATATTTTCCTGGTGCAAAATTTTATTTATTTTTAAGCTGGAAATACTTTCCTGGAGAGCAAGTGTAGTGTTTTTGCTCTGCCTGGTAACTACGCTCAGATTCCAGCTCCCCTGTCCAGTTACTCTCACCTCTGACATTTTGGGAGTGTTTTTGGGGATGGGGATCCTCTCTTAATGACTGACAGCTTGTCTCTGTCTTCCCCCTGTATGTTAAACGCACCCTTCTTCACTCTGACCCACTTTTCTTTTTTTATTTCTGGAAGCTCTTGACTGTTAAGGTCCCATCTTTCCTGCAGCCTTAGCTTTCACTGGCCTGGCCCCTCCGCAGAGCTCAGGGCAGAGCTCCTATCTAATCTCTGGAATGTGGCACCGAGACTCTACCTCTATCCAGCCCTTCCCCAGCTGCTTCACAGCTCCATCTAGGGCAGTGCACTAAATAGTCACAATCCACCCCCCTGCAGAGTCTGCCTGTGCCAAAAATATAAAGGGACACCACCGAGCTGCTGTCGAGCTGACATTTTGCATTAGAGCCTTAGGAATGAAAGCTTTGATCGGTTGTATTCAGTTGTTTTTAAATGACCCTAATTCCCCTGAAGTTGTGCGTGTGTTCAGGGGCATCCACGCATGGAGCTGATGGCTGGAGCCACTGATGGAATTCTTTCCCCATCAGACGTTATGGAACAGGAGTGCTGGGGGTCCGGGTTGCAGCCGTCCTCACGTCAGGACCTCCCAGCAGCACTCGGCTAAAATCACTGCGCTTCCCAACAGGCGTTGTTACCCAGGCTTCCTTCACCCTTCCTCTCCTCACTGATTCCATGCTTTATTTTGTTGCCTGTGAAGTTCATGCAGCTCTGAGAACCCTGCGCAGCAGAACGGCTACGTGGCCGCAAAGCGCAGGAGGTCTGCAAGCACCTCAAAGCTCACAGCAGGCTGAGAGCAGAGGCCAAATCCTGCTCACCTCCAGCAGAACCCTGTGCCTCTCCCTGCTGGATGCAGGGAGGGGAGGACTGTTCCCTCTTCAGTAAATCTTCAGCAGCTGCACTTCGCTTGTGGGGAAAGCTCCCGCGGAGGGACCCGACCCTGCAGGACTGGACGGGCCCTTCAGCTGCTTCCCTCTCAGCGGCGCAAACCCAGGCTGTGGTTTCCTGCCTCAGCCCGTTCTCCATCCTGTGAAAGATGTGTCCTACAACATCTGGCAGCCCGTCCCCCTGTGCTTCCCCTTGTTGGGGCATCGAGGCCAGAATGCCCGATCAGAGCTGTGAATAAAGAGGAGGAATAGACCTCAAAGTCACCAACCCTGCAGTAGGACTTGAAGAGCTGGGAAAGCTGCCGGCAGGGGACAGCCAGCAAGGGAAGGCTGAGCTCTGTTCTGGAGGCTGCGCTCTGGCTTGGCTCACGTCTCAGGTATTAAGATCTGATCATGGGTCCCTCCAAATACAGAGCACTTTTCCCACTGATTTTAGAGACATGTGGGAACAATCTGATGGGTTTTTTTTTTTCCCCTTTCTCATCTTGAACGAGTATCTGACAAGGAGAGTATTGTAATCCCTTGACCTGTCTGCCCAGCAGGTTATTTGCTTGTCCTCTTAATTGCAGCCCGAGCAGCTTTACTGCTGTTGAAATGGCTGCTCTGTGCTGATCACAAAGGGGCAGTGGAAGAGACCTGGCAGTGGAAGTCCTTGCCAGGAAAAGGAGGCTTTTATTGCATTCTTGGGCTGGAGGAACATTTCTGGATAGATGTGAGAGTGAAATAAGACACTGGCTGTGTGAGTCATGGCTGAGATGTGCTCTCTATTCCAAAGGGACAGCTGGTGGCAGTAACAAAACATCTCCCTAGATACATTGTCTGGCAGCCATCCCCCTCCTGCTTTTTCCGGCTGTAACTACCGTTACGTGATAAATAAATAAACACTCGCTGACAGTGATGTGCGGAGGCAGCTTTCCTTCCTTCAGCCCCTGGAGGCCCTCACCTGCCCCTTTCATTGCACTGCAGGACTGCACTGCCAAGTTTTAAGAGAAGGGGTAGGAAAACACAGACGTCAGCTGCTGCAGAATCCCACAAGGTTCAACCTGAGCAGTGCCCCTCTGGGCAGTGCTGTGAAAAGAGCAATACCTCAGCTGAAACGAGCCATGGTGCAAGCAGAGAGAAGGGATGCTCTCACCTCCTCGCCCGCTTTCTCTTCACATCTGAGCCCTAGACGTCCCTGGCTACGATCCCCAGCACACACGGCCATTACTGCTTTCCTGTAGGGCTGAGAAGGAGTGTTACTGGGCAGGCGCTGCTGCTTGCCCAATTAACTCAAAGTCCAACTGGAAGTTAAGGCCAACTCCAGGCAGCACAACCTCCTTGCTGCTGGGAGCAGCCCCAGCCGTGGGTGCTCAGAGCCCTGGGAATTGATGCTCTGCTCCTCCCAGCGCTAACGAGAGGCTGTGGGAGGGCTGCTGGCCTGTCATCAGCTCACTGAAGTTTACACACAGCAGCAAATTCTTTCTAACATTTCACTCTCTATTTTAACATAGCTCCAGACACCAGCGAGTCAATTTAAGTTCCTCCCTGCTGAAGCCAGAGTGTTTTCTGGAACAGCTAGTAAATTATTGAATGAGGAAGGGTTGGAGAAAGGGGCTGGATGGAAAGGCGCAGCAAGATTTTATTTGTGGACAAATACTGCGTATCCAGCAGGCAGAGGATGTGCCCTGTGGGCTCAGATCAAGTGTACAATTGGTTTCGTATTGAAAATGTCTTTCTGGACAGACTGGCTGAAGCCTGGAGAGAAGGATCATCCCTGGACATGGAGATCTGAGAGGTGGCTCTTCTCTAAATGCCACGACCCTGCGAAAACTGCCACGAATGCATGGCCTTTGTCTGAGTCACTGCTTGAGCCATGTAGACCACGACATGTCCTGCGGTGTGCTATGAATGTTCCCTGACACTGGGGTGGGATATGGTATCCATTCCATAGGCTAATTTAGGGGGCTGGACGAGCACCTTGCATAGCCACCAAGGCGACGTGGATCCAGCCTGCCGGCTGCCTTTGTTTGTTTTGGCTCAGGCAAAATTCCTCCATGCTCCTTGCAGATGGGCTGGGGAAAAAAAGCCCCTCGGACAGAGAATGGCAGGGAGGAGGGCCCTGAGCTCAACCCCATGGCACCTCCAGTGAAATCTCCTCTTAGAGGCAAAATTTCACAAGTTTTGGCAGGTCAGGCTCCAAGGCACGGTTTGGATTTCTTGCATCTTTCTGGGTTCTCTTTCCTCTTCCCTTTGATTTGACGGTAGCCCAGGTCTGCAGGAGGATGCTGTGTTGCCACGTGCTTCTTCCAGCTGTCGCGATTCCAGAATCACAGAATCACAGAATCACCAGGGTTGGAAGGGACCTCAAGGATCATGTAGTTCCAATCCCCCTGCCCAGCAGGGCCACCAAACATCCACATTCAGATCAGGTTGTCCAGGACCCCGTCCAACCTGGCCTTGAACACGTCCAAGGACGGGGCATCCACAACCTCCCGGGGCAGCCCGTTCCAGGGCCTAACCACTCTCCTTGTAAAGAACTTCCCCCTAACATCCAACCTAAATCTTCTCTCCCTCAACTTGGATCCATTTCCCCTAGTCCTGCTATTGTCAGCCCTTTTGAAGAGTTTACTCCCCTCCTGGGTGGTCAGCAGCACGAGATCCACAGGGTAGCAGTAATAGAAAACCAGGCCATGAGGACAGGCTGGTTTTGCTCTGCACTGCACAACAGAAGAGATTTTCTGGATGGCTGACTTTGAAACATCATTAACGTTATTCTAATGCAAAGGGTTTTAGCATAGTTGTTTAAGTGGTAAATACACTAAATGATGCTTTAAATATTAATACAAGAGGGTGCTTTGCTGAATTTAAGTTTGTCAATTGATTTCTTGTAATCGTATGCATTACACATGGGAGCACTTGCTGGCTTTGCTGCCTGCAAGAAACTGCAAGCATCAGAGAAGCTACTGGTGCATTATAGGTGGACTGGAAGGGAGAACTGCAATAAAGAAGCCAGCGGTGAAAATGGGGAGGGCAAATATGAATATTCATAAAAGTCAATCCTATTTAATTCAAGGTATTACTTTACCTTAACAGGAAATAAAAATTAGGGAGAAGGGAAAAGAGGGGGAATTCTGAAGAATGTCCAAATAGGTGTCCAGGTATTGAATTTGGACGTGTTATTAAGCATTGCAGTTTTGTGCCGATTCAAGAGCAGTTCACCAGCTTACACGTAATTTAAGTGATGTTCCTCCTCTCTGCAGAGGCCGGAGCGCTGCGAGGACTTGCCTTATCCTTCCTGCTGCGCTAGATGGCTCTGCTCTGCTCCTCGAGGCTGCTAACCAGGAGAGCAGAGGCGTAACGGTGCTCAGATGCCCCCAATCGTTCCTAACTCCACCGAATTGAATCTCCAGCCCAGATATTACTTTCTTTTTAGGGAGAAATAATGTATGTCCTCCTGTCCTTTGCTGTAAATAAGATGAGTAGCATGCAGTTAGATAAAGCCCAGAAGCACATGGTATTGTTTTGCTTGTTTGTTTGTTTGTAATTGGCTTATGATCTTTCTGCTGCTGCTTGCTTTGTGCTTTATGGCCCTACTTTAGCTGACAATCACGTCTGCTCAATGCCCTGCTCTCACGCAGCTTTTACTCCAGAGATGACAGAACGCTCGCAGCAGCCCTGAATGAAGGTGTCCTTCAGCTGCAATGGAGGAAATGGATGGGATCAAATTGACAGAACAAGATCCGTGGCCAGATTTCCAAAAAGCAGCACAAATGTTGTCTGTGCTCAGCTGCTGCTGTTTGTTTCTCTTGGCCTTATCTTCCTGCCATGCTGAGCACCCAGCTCTTCCTCTTGCAGTTGTTGGGCACAAGAACATTCAGCCCATTTGCCCTTAAAACACGCTCAGGAATGAGGCTGCCTTCAGCTCTGCTGCTGATCCCTTCTTTTGAGGGCCTGGGCGCAGCCTATGGACTCCAGATGGGATCCTTTGAGTTTTTCAGATCCCTTTTGCAAACCTAATGCCAAACTGGTGAAACAAGAATAACTTGTGTTTATTTATTCTCCATTTTATTGCAAGCAAACACGATTTATTTTACATTCCCAAACCTTTGCAAATAAACCCACGCACCTGAACCTACAGTCAGCTGCCAGAAAGAAGATTCCCTGACACTTTTCTTCCCATAAATTATTTCTATTGATTGAAAAAATAGTAGTAAATATTTTGTGTAGAACACAACATTTTTGAGGTTCAGGTTGAAGATCAGTGCAAGAGCCAGAATAAAGGATGGACAAGGGCTTGTTCGTTCTCCTTTCATGCCTGGCTTTGTGGCATGGCTTGGTGCTGTTTCTCTAGGGATGCTCTTATTTTAGCCTTTCCTGAGCAATAATATTGAGGGAATGGAAATTCTGTGAGATGAGATACCTGTAATTACACCTTTCAGAGCGCTGTCAGCAAGTTTTTGCATTTTAAAGAAAAATCTTGTGTTTCTGTACTTGAGCAAACCAACATTTTAAGGGCTTTCTGTCTGTTTTTGTGTCCTCTCACCCACCCAAGGCATTGATATCAGCCTTTCGGTAAGGAGTAGCACACAGAGGTGGAATAGAGGTATTTTCTCTTGGGACAAGCACTTGCATTCTAATCATTGCTTCTTTATCTTGGAGCAACACACTCAGCAATGCAGTGCTCCACAAATAGAAGTCAAAGTGCCCAGTTTCTTTCTGCAGCAGAGCAAGACAGATTACTGCCTGCTCAAGAGCTGATATATAAGAAGTTAATGGTATAAAGCACAAACCAGGTGACACGTGAAAATGAAGCAACAGCAAGAATAGCAAAAATACAGGCTCTTAAAAATGGGTGTGCATCAGTGGAGGGCATTTTTATTTGGTCCAGAAGAGATGGGATTTACCACGTGTGAACAGTTTCTGTTTTGAGGGAATGGTAGCAGGACAGAAGGAGGCCCTGGGCTGCTACCCTGAACTTCACTGGTATCAAGAGATCCTAATTTGGCTCGTGCAGTTTGGCCTGATAGCAGTAAGATCTCCATACTGCTGCAGCCCCAAAACCTCAGCAGTGTTGGAAAGAAAGTTCCCAAAGCTGCACGACTGCTGTGCAAAAGCACACAGGTGTCTGTGGACACCTCTCCCTTGCACAACCACGATGAAGATGGGAGGAGGAGGTGTGTTCTGCCTATCCAAAAGTAAACCCCAGAAATTATCAGATCTTGGCGCAGTTTCACAAACGCCTTCATTTCGCTCCTGCTCTTATTCGCTCTTTCCTGCCTTTTGCTCAGGGTTGTCCTTCCAGATACGGATGGTCAGGCAGGTTGCCATGGCCAGCCAGCCCAGGTAGGGCAGCATCAGCAGCGCTGCCACCTTGTTGATGCGGTACCAGGAGCACACGGTGCCGATGGCCAGGCTGTCCAAGCACAGGATGTCGATCAGCGCCTGCAGAGCAGACAGAAGAAAATTATTGTTGTTCTTCCTCTTGGGAACATACAGCAAGACGAAAAGCCCTCCTGCTACAGGTCATCACAGGATGGCCCGTGTTGGGATGGACCTCAAGGATCGTGAAGCTCCAACCCCCTGCCACATGCAGGGCCACCAACCTCCCCATTTCATAGCAGCCCAGGCTGCCCAGGGCCCCATCCAACTGGCCTTGAACACCTCCAGGAACGGGAGCATCCACAGCCATGGAGGTTGGGAGAAGGAATAGCAACCAGGGAGACTTCACGCTGAGGATTCAGCTGGGCTGATCATGAGCCCTAAGACCTCGGCTCTGGACTCAAATGAGTGAGACCAAACCAGGAGTGAGAGCAGTGCCGTTGTTTTGTTTGTTATCAGGTTTCACAGATTAATACACTGCTCAGCGGCCCTTCTACTGATAATGCCTATGTGGGTGCATCAGAAACATGCTCATCAGTACCAATGGCTGCTATCACTTTCTAAATGTACATTTCATCAACAGGGTGACAAAGCTGAGATGGAAACATGCCAATCTGTGCCTCTGATGTTCAGATAAATGCTTCTTGAGTCCAGCACGTGCCCAGCTCTGCCACGCTGCCATACCTTCACGCATATCCTCCTAAAGGCTCTGCTATGCACACTGTGTTGTGTTGTACTGCTCGATAAGCACAGCTACTGTTCCCTCCCCCAGGGATGCTGCTTTGCTGCTGGCTTGGGCAGGGTGTGTCTCTCAGAAGGACTTATCTGCCACCCCGAGTCCTTAACAGGGAGATGCAACAGCTGGGCTATTGACTTTTGAATCTCCCGCCCTGCTCTGGTAGGATCTGCTATCAGAGGGACAGGAGCAGGGTGAGGAGTGGAGGGGGCTGATACCATTGCCTAGAGCCAGGTGCAGCATTAATTATAACAGAGCAAAAGCTCTTCCTGCAGCTTTCTTTACAGTTGCGTAATTCTAGGTAGAAACTCTCCAAAGAGGCCCCAAACACCCAGCAGGGTGTCCAGGATACATTACCATCTTCAGGTTACGAGCACCAAAGAAGAAGGGAGGCCAAGCCCAGTTCAAGGCCAGCTGAGCCCCATAGAGGCCAAGCGGGACGATAGCTTTGCTGCTGCAGCCACCCAGGTCGTTCCAGATCAGGTAGGAGGCGTAGCTGTGAAGAGGGAAACTCGTCAGTGCTTTGCTGTCCCACAGTGAGTAAATCCATCATGTAGACAAACTCCTCACACAAGATTTGCAGCAGAGGTTTGCACGACTGCTGTATCTGCACAGCTGCTGCATCTGCACCCCTTGCTGCTCTCAGTCCTCTCATCTCCCACACCTGCGTGGCTCACAGGATTTCCCCAGAGCAGCGGCTGTTATTGGTGTCCTATCACAGTGCTGAGGGTGGGCTGTGCGCAGCCTGAAGCACAGCCTGGAGCAAAAGCTGAGGAGCTCAGCTCAGAAGGCAGCTCAGCTTCATAGAACCACAGAACGGCCTGGGTTGAAAAGGACCACAACGATCATCTCCTTTCAACCCCCTGCTGTGTGCAGGGTCACCAACCAGCAGCCCAGGCTGCCCAGAGCCACATCCAGCCTGGCCTCGAATGCCTGCAGGGATGGGGCATCCACAGCCTCCTGGGGAACCTGGTGCAGCCTGGGCACACACAGACCCCAGCGTGAGTGCAAGGCTAACAGCTGGGAATTCCCATTGCTGGGAATCAGCATACCTGCCCTGCCCTGCTGACCCGGAAAAGGAGTATTAAGGCAAACTGAAGAGTTTGCAATGTTGCACCTGAAGAAGCGTGACGAGCCGGGGGCCGTGCAGCACTTACCCCATTCCGGTGTACAGGACGGTCCAAGCAACGGGGAACATTTTGCGGGGTGGGCACCATGAGGGCTTTTTCAGCTTCTCGTACCAAACAGGAGTTTCTTTCCTATTGATGAACCAGCCGAGGAAACCCCCGACGTGCGGCAGGACGGTAAAACCTACGGTGTAAGCCCACATCCTTCCCTGGTGACGTGCAGTGCTCTGTTGCCTATTGTGGCTTAAAAACAGCAATTGATCATCAGTTTGGAAATCGCTTTTTCTTGCTTTGATCTTTTCCGCTCGTTGCCCACACCCCGCTTTAGTGGGTAAGTGTTTAATTTGTATTCAGCATTGCTACTGACTTCCCTCTGCCCAGGCTGTGAAGTAGGGGTAATTATTTCTGCCGTGGTTACATTTTCCCCTTGATCTGCCGAGTAAAGTGGCTCCTGCATTATTTTCTGGGCTCTTACAAGCTCTGTGTGGCAGGGTTCACCTGAGGTGCTTATATTCTTAGCAGACAAGGCTTCAGTTACTTTTATCATTCCTCCTCTGAATGCTGAAGTCAGACAGCGCACAACTGTGTGTGCTCACAGAGCCCACACGTCTCAGCAGAGCTGTTATCTCTCCTCTGCATGCCATTCTGAATATGAAAACCCAGACAGATCATGTCTAGAAAACCCCATCCATTCTGACTTCATCTCACTTTTTGCCATGGATTTGTATTTTAATTGAGGTCTGCAACAAGACAGTGTCCTAACAGTAAATTAAATTCTCAATGAACCTCTTTTAATCCCCCCTGCAGCCCTAGCAGACAGAAGCAGAATTCTTGCCTCCATTAACAGGTAAGCTGAGGCACAGGTTTCTTAGTTTGCTCACAGTCTAACCACGACCTGTTTGCATGAAAGGAACATATATTTAACAATCACCTTTCCAACACAAAACAGCTCTGGGAAGGATGGCATCCAGCATTTCATTCCCCTGCTGTTATCCTCAGGAGGGCTGTGAACCTGACAGCCTCGTGCCCTTCCTCCATCTGCCTGTGTTCGCCTCCACTTTGCTCCATTGAGGAACTGAAGCTGAATTAGCATTCATTGGAGATAAAGGATTCTCCAGGAGCACAGCAGCTCAGTGCTGTCAGCAGAAGCACGTAATGCACCTGAGCAGATGCACTTGGGGAGATTGCTTTTAGCAGTGCAAGGAGAGAGAAGGAGGCACACAAACAGCCCTGGTGCTCAGAGCACAGGCTGGGGATGCAGGGAGCAGAAGGGCAGGACCGATCTGCTCATCTGTGCAGCATTCTAACTCACAACCAAGGCTTTGCTATTGCCTGTGCTAATGGTTATTATTATCATCATCACGCTGCAGAGCTTTCCTCTTTAGAAGCTCACATCAGCCAGTCTGTATGTCAATAAGGAACAAATGCCCCCGACGCCGTCTGCCACCAACAATTCCTTCACCAGACAATTTATAGCACTATTAATGTGTCTCTGGAGGGAGAGAAGCGAGCAGGCAGAAGCAAGCTGTCGCTCCTGCTTTGGGAGTGTAAACCAGCACCAGCCAGGCTGCCCGACACGCTGCAGAAGGGCTGCGGGCAGCACGGCGTTGCTTGGATATCTCAGTTTGCCTCCGTGGGGCTTGAGCCGTAAAGCCTTACCGTCTCTCACCGCCCGTCTGTGCCGTGCGAAGGAGAAAGGTCGGGCATCCGAGGCCGGCTTCTGCCTGCGCTGCTGCTGCTGTGCGAGGAGGGGAACGAGGAGGGGCCGTTGAGTTTTGCCCAAATAGCAGAGAAAAGGGGTGTGTGCGCATCGCTGCGTGGGTCAGATTACACAGAGCCCAGAGGGGCCCTGCGTGCACCGCCTGGCCCTGGGCTGACGCTGCAACGATGCTCGGGGTGATGTGCGGGCAGAGCACGGCGCCAAGGCGCAAGGCGTGCGGTGCTGGTGAGCTGCGTGAGAGACACGGATGAGGATCAGGCCTGGGGTAGCATGGAGTCTGGGGGTGCTGCAGGGATATGAGCTACACCGATGTGTTTCAAATGGGGATCTCAGGTTGGGCTCCTGTGGGCAGGATCTGCTGTGCCTGCAGGGAACCTCTGCCCTTGCCACTGCTGGGTGCTGCTGCACAGCTCGCTGGTCACCCTTGGGCTGAAAGTCACCGAGAAGCACTTGGATCTGAAATAAAGATGTGAGAGGAGCATGTTAAATGGAAAAGGAAAAAGCTGGAAATCAATTTCCATTAGTAAGCTGTCTGCGAGAGATGGGGAATTAAACACTAATTTACTTCAGTTATGGGTCATTACCTGAATTCCATGGCCAGGAGCAGCATTGCTGGTTCCTGGCAGAATGCAGTATTACTGCTGTAACAGAACCACCGAGAGCTGCTGTTTTATTGGGCTCCGAAGAGAATTTTTCAGGGGGAGGGAAGGAGAAAAGACAAAAAAAACCAACAACCCACATGGTAGGGGGGTAGATTTTCAGCCAGCATAAATCAACCCGGTGCTATTGAGACAGTGTTTGTACAGCATCATTACTGCTCTGAAAGAACAGATGCAACGCGCGTTCATCAAGCAGAAGTCTGCTGCACATCCCAACAGGCTGCTGCTACTTCATGTGGGAGCTCAGGCCATGCTGCAAGGCAGGTGTGCCACAGCACAGCCCTGAGCAGCTCCAGTGCTCCCAGTGCTCCCAGTGCTGGTGTGAGGTGGTGACAGCACAGTCACAGCAAACGCTGGAGCAGTTGGTAGCTGGAAGCGTCTCCTTCCCTGGACTGGAGCACGGATGTCCATTGCCTTTCTGCTTGGCACAAGGCAGTGGAATCCCCTGGTTATTTTGTAGTATATTATGCTGAAAGCATTATTAAAAGCTAGGCGTCAAATCGTGAAGGTCTTGGTAATTCGTGAGGTTGGGGGATGATAGGTTATGACAGTAGAAGAGCAAATGCAAAGAGGGAAAATATAGCCCTGTGAGTGATGTATCAGCCTTACCTGAGCTTCAGAGCAAAGAAGAGGGTAATGGTAATGAACAGATTTGCCCTGGATCACAGCAGACTGGCTCATGGCAGAGATGTCACAGCCTGGGGTGGGGGTACCCACTGCTCTGGGCTTCTAAACAGTGTCTGCTATGGAGTGAATCAGCTGATGAAGTCAATGGTTTCAGATCATAGAATGGCCTGGGTTGCAAAGGAGCACAGCGCTCATCCAGTTCCAACCCCTGCTGTGTGCAGGTCACCAACCAGCAGCCCAGGCTGCCAAGAGCCACATCCAGCCTGGCCTTGAATGCCTGCAGGCACGGGGCATCCACAGCCTGCTTGGGGAACCTGGTGTAGCCTGGGCACACACAGACCCCAGCATGAGTGCACAGCACTGCAGGAGGAACAAGCCTGGCTGTGAACTGGGCAGCCTTCCTTCCTTTAGCACAGAAGAGTTTCTCTTTTCTTACCCAGATTTACGTCCCAATAATTCTGCTTTGAGTCACATTACCTCATCCTGTATTACTGTAAAATTACCTCTTAGTAAAATCATTGCTATATTACATCTTGCTATGCTTCTGTATATTAAAGTAATATTATTATTGGATTTTAGATCACTGTTGTATCACTGCAATATGTTTTCATGAGAGAGGGGACATAGGAGAGCAGAGTTACACAACCATATTTGTTTTCCTCTTCTTAGCAACCTTCTCACGTTGTCCCAAGAGGTTTCCATTCCACGCAAGATTAATTGCTCAAATACAAAAGCCCCGTTAACCTGAATATATTATCGAAAAGCAGCATATTTCAATCTGCCCTAGTTTTGAAAATAGAGATGCCAGGTCAGCTCCTGGCATAAATCTGCAATGCTCCACCAGGTCGGCGGAGCTCCTCTGATTTACACCAGCAATAAAGCTGGGCTGCTGTGTCTGCTGTGCTGAGACTGAGAGCTGCTGTGGGGACGGAGTGGGGCAGGGACATCTGTGACAATTGCCACACTGTGAACAGCTCAGAGCTGCTGGCTCTGGCACTGCAGAGTAAAACATGGGAGTTGGAACGTGGTGATGCTCGAGGTCCCTGCCAGCCCAAGCCATTCTCTGATTCTGTGCCCGTTTGTACATTGAAATGATATTCTATTAAAAATAGCAGCGGTAACAACGATAATCCACTAGTTTTCTTAGCATTGAAGCGTGGTTTTCAGCGTGCCATAAAGCACTGTGTGCCCACGGGCACTGCCTGCTCCTGGTGCCTGCCCACAGCTCATCGTGGGAGCCGCTTTGTGCAGTGTAAAACCCAACGGCTCTCAGCTTGTGGGCCAGAAGGCTGGAGCGAGTTCCAGGGTAAGTTCTCCATGGTGGGGAGCTCAGCACTGCTCACCCATCAGCAGCGGTGCAGTGAACTGCTGGATGGGGCTGCATCACAGCGATAACCCTGGGGGAACGGCTCTGCCTTATCTGCGTGCAGAAGTTGCACCCGGCAGTCAAAAAAGCAAACGCAGCTCAGCCCCCGTCTGTTTTACGAGGAGCTTAATGTGGGGATAGGCACAGGACTGCAAGCAATTAAGCCATGCAGCTTAACAAATTAGCGCGCTCTAGCTGAGCCTTGTTAATTAACCACGTTAATAACCACGCAGGCCGAGCCCAGCACCAATGCGACGTGCAGCGCCCTGCCTTCACCTCCCTGAGCTGCCATTCCTGCTCGGCAGAGCAGAGACCTGCACAGCTCAGCCCCAGATCCCTGGAGCCACCCTGATGCGTGCGGGTGGGATGGGGTGCAGACCCCCAGGGCTCAGCCTCAAGAATAAAGCTGCAGGAATCTGCAGCAAAGTCACTGCAGGCTGCTGTGTGGTGCTGGGTTAGCAGCTCCCAAACTCAGCTGCTTCCTTCTGTCTCGCTAAGCCACGATCTCAGCCCTGGGATTAGCATCAGGTCACGGATATCGGGTTTGAAGCCCATCCAGAGGGTTTTGTAACGCCCCAGAAATGCACTTTGACACCCATCTCAAGGTCCTTCCTACACGTGGGGTTAATTGAGAAAACCTACTGCAGTTGGGAGCAATGCACTCAAATCAAATTCACCTCCACGTGCTGCTGCGCCCCTGAGAAGTTTGGGGAGGGGGTTTCCTTGTGGGACCTTCCTGAGGGCTGGGAGCAGCAGCAGTGAGCTGGGGGAGGCAGCAGCAGCCCGGCGGGCCAGAAACACCAACCCAGGGGCAGCGTCTGCTGAGCTGCTGGGGGCATTAATCAGCCTGCAGAGTGTTTATTGCTGGTGGTTATGCATGAAGAGGAAGGGCAACAGCTGCCTGGAATTTTCAGTTGAAGCCATTTTCCATCCTGATTTATTAATTCGAGGCTTCCACATGACCTGGGAAGAAGCGCTGCCTCTAAATCTGCATTTATTGGCTTTGTGGTTTTGGTTTTTTTTTTCACTTAAGGCCAAGATCCAGCTGGCTGAGTCATTGCATCCAAGCATCTCTTGTTTTAACAGAAATGCCATTTCCAGCCAGAAAACTTCAGCAACTGCTTCTTCTTGATCAAAATGATTTGGCTGAGCGTTATGAACCCGTCAACATGCATCCAAACAGTGCTTTGAGAAGACTTTTGTTTGGGAGAACAACTGCTTTATTCTCTTTATTACTTCGGTCTTTCACAGAAATAGAAAGAGAAAAGGTGAAAGAACACAGAGACCCCAGGGAACTCATAGCAAAGGGAAAAGAGAGAGACGGATTCTGCAGCAAGTAAAGAAAGAGAAAACTTTGCAAAGAAAGAGAAATCAAAACATTTGGGAGATAGGAGGGATGGCAGCTGGAGAGTGGGAGAAAGGCAGAACTTCTCCTGAGTCGCTCCTCTGATGGCTTTTCAGTGGCTTCCTGAGCAGCTGGAGCATTTCTTCCCTTGCATGATGGCCCCTACCAACCTGCAGCATCAGCTGTGGTTATCCCAGGCAGCAGTGAGGTGCCAGCTGGGCTGGGATGGAGCGCAGTGCTTTGGCTGGGGGCAATGCTCCGTGTGTGCCACAGAACCACAGAATGGAGGAGCAGCACGGAGCCAATGGAGATCACCAGCACCCGATCATCGCTGCAGCCCCTCCGCAGCAGCTCCACGTCTGCCCTTTATTGGGGAGCCCAGGGCAGAGCAGAGGGGAGCAGCGCCTCCTCACCCTGCTGGCTGCGCTCTGTGCCGTGTGCCCCAAGGAACCACCAGGGCAGCCGATGGTTCGCCGCCAGGACGCCCAGGTCCTTCTCTGCAGAGCTCCTTTCCAGCAGCTCAGCCCCGTACCTGCACTGATAAGTGAGGCTGTTCCTCCCCAGGTGTGTAACTCTTGCAAGATGATTGCAAAGAAGAGGAGTTTATCAGTGTCTTGTGCTGCTCACGTGCTGCTGCACAGCTCAAAGGCGGTTATCTGGGCCAGCAGGCTCTGTCCTCTCTCAGCTTTCTGACCTCAGCCTCCCTTTGGCAATAACTAAGCCCACCAACCCCTCTGGTGTAAATCCCCCCAGCCAAGTGCAATCAGCTCACATGCCAGGGTCCTTCCCCTGACAATCTGGGAGGCCAAAATGATGCAGAGGGGTTTGAGCAAACATAAGAGTGTTTTAGGGTAGAGAGAGCTTTGAATTTGGAAAGTGACCTGTATGAACACAGTGCTGTGGTATGCTCTCCTCCAGTGACTGGAACAGGTAAAAACTGAAATCACTGCTCCCTTTGTGCTGAACCGGTTCTTCTAACTTTGACAGAAGAGGTTCCTCCTTTTGCAGCAGATATCCATCCCAGAGAGCTGAGTTCCTGCAGAATCCCCATGACGACGAGGGTCTCAGTGGTGGATCACAGATGTGAAGTCACCGTGCCAGATTTCCAG